CCAAGAAATCCCGCGACTTTTCAGCCTCTCATCCTGATCCTCAGTGCTGCAGCCGAGTCACCATTTTCTCCCTGCTCGCCACGCTCACCGCGTTCCTGTGGAAAGACCAGTCAAACGTGCAACTCTACCAGTGGCATCTGCAGCTCAGCCCGGGGCCTCTATGTCTTCAAGGCTTTGGATTGCAGAAACCATGTTTCAGGCTGTAAGACTCTGTTTCTCATCCAGGCTTCTATCACCGGCAGTGTCAGGGAAGCACTTTGAAATAGTAGCAGGCATCGAAATCTGAGACAGCACTCGCTGGTCAGCGCAGGAAGACAAGCTGTAGCCACCGTGCTTTACTTCCTTGCCCAATTCACATATGCAAGCATTGACCACTTCAGGGTTTCTAAGGGTAGTATGACATGAGGAGTTTACTTAGAACTACAGTACTAAGCTGACATGAAACATCTCACCATGATCCGCGTGCAACCTTTAAGTGCACCATTGATAGGACTGACTTTGCTGATTCAGGGGTATTGTCTTCTGACAACATAGCTCAGACAAGAGTGCTTCTGACTTGGCGAACTGAGCGGCCCTTGAAGAACCTTACTCCGCGGCAGAACTCGCAAGACTTAGCTAAGGCAGGCACAGACTGCTTCTCGCGGACAAAGGCTCGACACCTGACTCGGCGGTCGGAGATGAAGCTTGACTCACTGGATACCCTAAACACTGAACCCTGAGCCCTTTAGCCCAACCCTTGGACTGACTCTCAAACCTAACGCCATGGGATGCTCGCTGCGGTGTGGCTGCCTCGCCATCATGTCCTCGATGGCGTTGGCAGCCTGCTCCTGCTTGCCTCAGCGGTCCGGCACTTACATGACACTCAGAGATAGTACGGGGTAAATTATACTATAATTACTATAGTTTATAATGAAGAAGCCTAAGGAACAAGGATATTGGCAACTATATTTAGACCCCTATACTGTGCATGATGGCATGATTCTCAGGGGTAGTATCTGGCTCTGCAGAGTTTCCAATACAGGGTTTCATGTGGCTACAGTTCGATGACAGTCCTGAGCCGCAGGGTCTAAAGCCTAGAGCCGAGTATCTGGCTTCATTACATGGATGAGGGCTTAGGATACGTTGTTTTCGGGTTCGCATGGGAGGGTTGCATCTGCGGTCATGCATTTGAAGCCAGTAACAGAGGCCTCGGAAAGGAGTACCTAGCAGGAAACAATGCTATACCAACACGGGCAAACCACACCACAATATGCACAGAGTCATGGTGATCGGGATCATCCTCCAGACCGTTTTCTTCAGAAGCAAACACGACTGTTATTGGCAGTTTTAACAGGAGCATTCGCACAGTTACTCTTCGGTGAGTCAGTCTTGGTATCCTGAACTTCGAAGCACCTTTTCTTGGGCTTTCGCTGTCCTCATCCTGGGCATCCTTCTGCACGCCCGCGAAAGCGGATTTCGCATACTTCCTGGCCCGACGAGACGCCGGAATCTACCATGACCAGCACCACTACTGCTGCCATTACTGCCACTCCTACTGCTCGTGATACTGCTGTTACTACCACTACTGCTACCGCTACCACTACCACTACAACTAACTGCCAGGACGACTGCGTAGGTCGTCGTCGTTGCTGTTGCTTCTGCACCTCAATACAACATGACCAGATTCTGCCGAAAACGTAGACTAGCCTGCCACGGTTCTGATCCCTAGCCAACTTCTCTAAAACCTCTCAACGACCACGGATTTCCCCACCCTGCTCCCAAGGTGCAAGTCGACGGACTAGGACCACCACTCTCTCGCCCTGCCCTGGCCCTCACTACCCCAAACTCCTCCAAACAGCCACAAGACCGATGTCCAAATCCAGACCTTCAGGAACTTCATAGAAGTCAGGGTGCCGCCCCTAAACCCTAAACCTTAAACCCTAAACAACCCTAAAGCACTAAACCCCAAATCCCTAACTATGAAGGGGTCCTTCGGGTCTCGGGTTTAAGGCTCAGTGGCAGGGTTCGGTTCCGCACTTCGATGAAACCTTGACATGCCGGAGAGGCTTCGCCAGGGCACAGTCCTCGCGGATGGTCCCAAAGATGGCTTAAGGAGGGTAAGGGTCTAGGGTCTACCTTAACCCTGAATAACCTACCTTTTTGGGGTTCCTTATTTTGATTTCCTTATATGAATCCCTAAAACGGTGGGTTATTCCGGGTTAAGGTAGGGTCTAGGGTTAAGGGTTTAGGGTTTGGGGTTTAGGGTCTAGGGTTTAGGGCTTGTGATAAAAAAAGCTTTGGCGTATCGCAGGGATATATAGGGACTACAGTAAGTATAAGCCGACAGTACCAAAAAACGAATTGCTCAACGCCCTGTGCCAAGGTTTAATCATGTGTGCGACCTTTGAACGGGTATCTTCCCAGGTAGCACTGATTAGGCGCTTGCTGTGGTAGTCTTGTACACAAGTCGAGAATTCGCTGCCCCAAACCCATGGAAACCGCAGCCCTCTATGAGACGCCTTAAACCCGACCTATAGCTAGAAACAGCTGCAGTCTTCGCATCCCGATATCTCTTCATATGTCTAACACCCAGAACATCAAACACTTTTAAAGGCCATGAGCACAGCACTCTGATTCCTTCTCCAAGAACCGCCGCTGCTTCGACGAGAAGACATGGAGATTAGCGTGGAGGGCCCGGTACATCTTGTTGCCGGTCTGGACGACTCGACAGTTTGAACTTTTGGGCCTTTGGGGTTTCAGGGGTTCAGGGTTGAAGGGTTTAGGGCCATAGGGATGAGGCCGTTGACTGTAGAATTTGGAGTCTAATACTTCGAAGTGGGGGCTTCTTGGATGATGGGTCCCTTTTGGCGGGTCATGTCATCACTGAGTCTTTTGCTCTGTCTCTCTTTGAAATGTTCCAGGTGTTCTGAAACTCCCATGCGGCCCCACGCGTTGTACTTCAGGATTTGGGGGGGAAGATGGCGTACAATTACCAGGTACATAGACTCATGCCGTAGGTGCTGGAAGGACACACCAGGCAGAAGATTTAGCTTAAGGGGCTTGGGTTTAAGGTCATACCTTGGAGACTAAATGAAACCAGTACAACCTACTCGCAATATGCTGATTTTGGCGCCTGTCGAGAATCAGAAATCCGGACAACCCTAAACCCTAAACCCTACATGCTCAACAAAATGGTGCAAGCCGGCGGAAGTTTCCACAGGCCCGAAACCAATATATTCCAAGCTCCGCTACCCAAATTGGGATCCTCCTATCAGGTCCACTCATATAGGGGCTTGTATTAGAATAGGGTTTTGGGGTAGGTTATACTATAATCAGACTAAGGACCCCCCCAAAAAAAAACAGAAAAAAATGTATCTGTAATTATTTAAGCCCCTGTATTCGTTTCACAAACCTCCGAAACCTTCTGAGCCTTCTCCGTCAAGTCTTCGATGAAGCGATTGTGCGCCACCACGCTATAGAGGCTCTGCGCATCCATTCGCCCGTCGGATGCCTAGCGGCTCGTCGGATTCTATGTAACTAGTTCATGGTTGGGACAGGATTAAACATGTACGTGTTTATTCCTGTATTGGGTTTCAGTACCCGTAGACATGCAAAATGTGACACCCAACTATGACAAAGGCAATGTGATCTGATTTCGGGTCTAGGATTTGAAGGGCTATGGTTGGATTCCTGATTCGGGCTTATGGGGTCCGCTAGACCCTAAACTTAAACGCGAAACCCAAACATGCTTCTGGGGGCTTGCTTACCCAGAGGCCCAAAGTAGTTCCTTTTTGGGATTACCCAGGATTCTATATACGAACCCCAAAAAGGAACTACTTTGGGGCCTTTCGGTACTGGGTCTTGCTGGCAGATCTAGAGCTGTTACGGTCGGACGGTGCTGTGGGGGTTCAGGGGTTCAGGGTTTGGGGTAAAGGGTTTAGGGTTTAGGGTTTGAGGGGTTTAGGGTTGTACATTTAGAAACTTAACACAGGGGCTCTGACAATTCGACCAAGGTTTCCGGGCAAGTTATAGCCTAATGGAATTAGCAACCTTGCCTGTACCTAAAAGAAATCCGCTACTTGATCTCCTGGCGAGATGTCGAAATCTCAGAGCCTTAATGCGCGAAATCCGACAGTATGCGCGTACCTCAATGCTACACTGCAACTCCATTACCAGTACCACTGACCCTGAAACGTAAACTCAAATCTAACATCTCGGACCCGGCACATCCTTCAACTCACACGCACATCCGCAAACCGACAAAATTACAAAACCCTTGCAAAAGCCGGAGACAAAAGCTCACGAAACCCCTCCTGTGCTGATCCTGCGAGGCACATGCAGAAACCGTCCACAATCCGCCTAGTCCAGAAGCACCAGAACCAAAACACCAACCTTTTAAGCTTAAAACTCTGAGGCCCTGACCCTCCTAAACCCGAAACCCTACAAACCCCGGCCCACTCTAAACCCCAAACCCTACATAAACCCTCAGCCAACTCTATACCCCAAGCCCTAAACCCCGTGAACCCTAGAAATCTAGGAGTTAGGATAAGGTTCCCTTTAAGAGAGCCATACATAGGCTTAAGAAGGGTCTCCTTTAAGGGGTCTCCCTTGTACTACCCTAAACCCTAAGCCCTAAACCCAACTAAACCCAGCCCTTGTACTACTGTTGATGATATAAACCCTGCATTACCCATAATAGGGAATATACCACAATTCCCATAGTTTAGGGTCCTTAAGGTAATGCAGGATATATATATATATATATATATAGGGTTTGGGATCGAGCCGCCCGATCAGCCGGGCTTGCATTGCCTAGAACCCCAGTGCACATAGCACGCCTTGCCATCATAGGACTGTACCCTCGATCTCCTCCTTTTCACAGGAATCTGCGGCGAGTACGTTCCAAGGCACGCGCCAGGATCAGCTACAGCCGCCAGCAAGGAGTCGCCCCTCGACTCCGAGATCTGGCTTTGCTGGCTGTTCACCACTCGCGACCCAGATACAAGGAGCTTTTTGATCGTATGGGACGCTCTAAGAAGACATGGCAGCCAGACGAGGATTGGTCCCACTCTGGTGGGCAGGAGCGTTCTTGGTCGCTCTGGAAGGGTGCATGGCCCAAATCGCCTACTCCCAACAATCGTTCGACGACCCAGCTCAGGTACGACCAGGTGGATCCTGGCAGCGAACACTGGGACTACAACCAGACCTGGAGCGAACAGCCGGAGGAACAGATACCTTCCGACTTACCAGTCGCCTTCCGGGAGATCCAACGTGCTTTGACACAAGCGAGAAAGGCAGATGCGCGTGTGCGAAAACTACGCGCGGATGTTACCTACCGGCAGGCTCAGTTTGTGAAGTACGAGAACATGATGAAACAGGCTTTTGCCAAGAATCACAAACAGTACGAGCAAGACCTTGCCAAGCTCCAGGACGAGATCCAGAATGCTTCCGAAGCAGGGAGAACAGCCACCAAGGACGTCCAGATGTTGGTACTATATGGGCAAATCAAGGAGAATGCGCAAGAGACCAAGCAGGCAGCCTCTGCCGATCGACTATGGGCCGACCTGATCCGTTCCAATACGGATGGCGAGGCCCCTGCGGAAACCTCCTTTCTCTCGGAAGCCATGTCACTGGTCAGGAATGCCCAGCCGGGCATCCTCCGTCCAAGGGATGGTCTGCCAGCAGCTCCCTCCAGAGTCCCGAGAGAAGTGACACCTCCACGGTCCAGACGTGTTATGCCGATGTCACCGCAGCAGGGCAAGGAAGATGTCGTCCTTCGCGATCCGGCATCCTATGGTTTTGCCAGGGAGGGTGGTCCTTACCCCATCTCTCCCACGGCTCCAGCGGCAAGTACGGCTATCCCACCGGGACTGGAGGATCTCGACCAAGCTCGAAGTGGCAGCCGCCCCAAGAACAAGACCGGCGATGGCACCGGAACCAGACAGCCAGTCAAGAAAATTGTGCAGGGAGTTGCCCACACCATCCATCCAGGCGGAGTGCCACTGTCGGACAAACTGGAGGCACGCCGACAAGCTGCCGAAGCGGAAATGAATATGGCGGGTCGTGCCATGCGACCTTTCGGCCTACCTGCCGGCGCAGCTGGCAGCGCCGATCCCAATCCGGAAGAGGACCGTCTTCGCTACATGTACAATGGTCAGTGTGTGGAGATTCGGGTCTCGAATTCGGACGACGACGATCTGGAAGAGAAGGATGCTGTTCGCGGACCTGTAGGCCGGACATCCCCAGACGGCACGTGATTTGGTGGAGTAGAGTTTGTTCACGAAAGTCATCTGGTTTCAAACCTTGGCTTATCGGGCTAGAGGGAGCTTGTGCACTCGTTGTCTGTGATGGGTACAGACACGAGTTGCCCCATCCCTGTGGCCAACGATCTGTCAAGTGGAGTCTCCAGAGGACTTTTCGTCGAGCAAACTGGTCTCACACCTTTACGTGTACAGACCACTTTCTTTGCCAAGGGCCTCCTCGTCGCTGGCGATCCCAACTCGAGACACTTCTTTGGTCTTTGGATGTTGTCTTGGTTGGGTCGTCTGTCTCCTCTGCCAAGGGAGTGGGTCGGTTTTATACCGATTTCGTTCCTGCGGCCTCGCCTGGAACTCAGCCTCCGGCTGCTTGTTCTTCCAACCTTCTTCCCAGAGGCGTGCCTAAAAGTCGGATCGGTGGCGCTGGGCCGACTACCCTCTCCTGTGTTATCCCTTTCGGAAGCACATTGCTGGATTTTGCTTCCCCTTCTTCCCTACCGTCGACTCAAAGCGCCCTGTTTGGCTGCTGGTCTTCGGTCACCTTTGACAGGGGCCAGTGTCATCATTTCGGTGTGGACTCTGTGCCCAATGGCTTTTCCATAGTCGGTGCTTCTAATGATTTTGGCCATACACCGGCTTTCTTTTGGTTTAGGGGTTTGGCGGAGTGCATAAGAGACGAATCGGTTGCTCAGGGTCGTCCACCTGCCTTCCCCGATACACTGCCTTCAGTTCGTGCCTTCAGGTGTGAAGCTCAACCTGTTGGTGCCGACAACCTGTGCACCGATTGGATCCTCGCTCTCATTGAGGCTTGGTTGATCCCTTTCGCCCGAAGCCTCCTGTTCCTCTTCTTTGGGGCACTTGTGAGGCTCTTCGTCCGCCCACTTAGGGCTCATGGCGTTCTCAAGAATACAGTTGCCTTTCCGTTTCTTGGGATTCCCCCCACGGCAACTGTTCCTCTTGGCAGCATTGGTTGTGTCGATGTCCAGGCGATGCAGAAGCCTCCCTTCAAACACAAGGGCGCTCGCAGTCATGCAGCTGCCTTTTCGTGCCCGGCCAGGATCAGCATTTTTCGCAGACTTTGCTTGGGCATCTTCGGCTTTCTGACCTTGCCACTTCCGCTTGGCAATTCTGCTTTTGGTCCTGTTGCCCTTGGCCTCACCCTTCCTGTTCTGACTGGCGCCATGGCACGAGCTGGCGAGGCGCCAGCTGTTGGCAGTTTTGACCATGATATCGCACCGGAAGACCTTACTGCGCTCCAGGGAGTCAGTGATGTTGCTTTAGCATGGCTCCACCCTGATGATGTTCCCAGTCCTGACCCTTGTTTACATGTTTCGGAGCCGCCATGGGGCGACCTTGGCCCTTGCAGACGGTCAAAGGATACCTGGCTTGGAGTTTATGTTTACACACCCCACTACAATACTGTGTCTTGTGCCATTCAAGCGTGTCCTGAGGACGGCATACACCCTGTTCTCACTGTGCTCAAAGAACAGTCGCCAGGTGTGCCGCAAGGGTTGTTTCATACCCTGATCCCACTGCGTCCCCAAAGACACCCGGGGTATTTATCGGTCATCCGGGTCCCCAACTCGACACGATACCTTGGCCCAGACGGCACAGCTTCAGTTGTGATCGATCTCACAAGAGTTGGCGGGAGATACTTTGCTTGTGTGTTGCCCCGCCGTCTCGACCTACGTCGCCTCGAGGAATACATTCTCCCCCTCACGAGTGTCCATGATGGCCCTACTTACTTCTTTGTTGGACATGCGACCACCCCGTGGCCTGACTATGCTGCGGTTGATCTCCACGATGGTGATGTAGTCACAGCTGCGTGGCACCCCGATGCCATCACAGAACGTATCAGGGTCGAACCACTTTTTCGCCAGGATGCCGAATGGGGGTTGCCTCAACAGTTTCCTCTTGTTGAATCGCCTGCTGCCTTGTGCATCCTCTACAATGATCAAAGGTTCACATGTGATCCGATCCCTCCTCACCGACCTGTCGTTGAGTACGTTTCTGCCAAGCTTGCCATCAATGCAGGGGAAGCCATTATGTGCTCTTACCACATAGGTAACCTTGACGTGCAGGGAGAAAGCTGCGAGTATATAGTCACGGCGCAAAGCATTAGTCCCTACAATGCCAGAGTGCAGGATCGAAGTGCATGTAGGGATGTCTTCGTCCTTTGTGACCTGCGTCCCTTGGGGCAGAAACCGTGTTTCATATATACCAACTTTCCAGCACTGCACGTTCCCTCCCTTGAGGCTAGGTTTGGTTTAGTCCTGCCCCCTGCTATTAGACTCGGGGTTACTGGGGGTGATCGTAGGGGCGATGATGTGCATTTTGAGCCGAACTCCACTTTGCTGTTCTTTGCCGAGGGTTACCCCACAAGTAACTCCTCCGGCAGCTCTTCCAACTCTGACAGTCAGCCAGCCGCTGTCCCCGATGACGGCGACGGTCATGGGCAGGCAGCAATGCAATTAGAGGACCCTCTCGCCACAGCACTTGCCAACCCACCATACGACGTGTTGACCGCCTGGAATGATTGGCAAAGTGGTGGGCCCGACCTCGACCCGAGTGGCTTTCCGGAAAGTGGCCCCTTCTATACTCCAGCCAATATTGACGCAGCTGGAGAGCGACACAGAGAGGACTCCACTCTCCCGTCTGGACACAGCTGGAATGCAGGCTCGGCACAACTACCCGTGTCTGGGGGCTCTGCAGGCGCAACAGGAGCTGGGGCGAGTATTGAAGGCCACTCTGCCACCACCCATACAGGCCACACGCGTGCAGAATCATCTGCTGTTGATGATTCCCAAACAAGTACCCCAGACCCTAACACTGATGTAGTTATGCAGTCGACAGCCTCGACGCCTGCCCTTACCCTTACATACGCAACTGGCTACCTGCCAGAGATTGTAATCCTTGGACTTCCAATTCCATGCGGAATTGACCAAGCTGTAGCGTGTCTTCAGCCCAATAGGCTTGATATGTTAGCAGATCGGTTCCCCGAGCTTGTCCCAGTGCAACCGCAGCCTACATCTGACAGCGCCACCTTTGTCGCCATCCCAGCCTGGAGTGACGCCCGTGTTGTTGTCCTCCTTGATGGCCGCCGCATCAACGGATGTGTGTTTTCAGCTGCAGTGCCTCCTGTCATCAACCGAGAATCACTGTTGCTTGCGGCAGGACATGCCCATAGCGCATCCTTCCAGGTTTTTGTTCATGGTTTGGTCACTCCGCTACAGCCATATCAATCCATCACAGTTGCGCACGGCATGCTGGTCACTTTAGCACCAGCTGATGTTTGGGCTCCTGCACACTTTGATCTAGCAGACATGCTCCAGGATCGAACGACATGGAGCCTCGAGGTTGCTCTGCCTGGGCCCACAGCATATCCTGGGAGCCACTTCCGTGTCTTCACAGATGGCATGCCCTTTGTTTTCAAAGTCGAGCCAGGACGACGACCGTCCTTTCAAGCTGACTTGAAGAAGGCCTTGCACACAAAGTCAGAGTTTCTCTCTGTCCTCCCTTCCGCGCCCCAGATCCCAGAGCACTTCCACCTCGGGATTCCTATGTCTGGGGTCCTTCTAGCCACTGAGCAACTTCAAACAGTTCGCTGTCCTCCTGCCAGAACTGCAGAAACACGGGTTCCCTACTTTCTTGATGCCAGGCCTATCCTCAGGGATTTTATCTGGGGTTTGGCACAGCAGGGTTTACTTCAAGTTCAGAGCGTCCTTGATCGGTTTGCTCATAGCTGTCCAGCAGGATATAGTGTCACTGCCAAGGGTGCACCCATACAAAACATTGAGGGCGAACCTCATTTCAGGGTTGGCAGAGGTCAGGTTCTCCTCATTGAATACGTCGAGGATTTATCTGATGAGCCATCCGGGGATGGCTCCGACGATGGTGGCCATGATGGGACCAGTGGCAGTACGCACGGTCGCAGAAACAAGAACCAAAAGCGCCATGCAACATCTGCCCCTGACGAGCGACCTCGGAGCCGCTCCCCGCGATCTAGCCACAATGCGGGTGGACCTGCTGCCACCCCTGCTGCCCTGCAGGACCCACAGCATGCTGGCAGTCTTACCGATGAGCCCAACCAGGAAAGTCGAGTAGCCATGTGGTCTCAACAGGCCGTACATCCGTTTGATGTTGTGCCATCTGATTCCACCTCTGTCCTCCTTACTGGTTTCCCTGCGGCCTCTGAGCAGCCTGATACTAGCAGTCGAGTAGCCACGTGGTCAAGGGCCAGCGAGCCCGAGTCCACCTCTGCCCTCCTGCTAACAACGTCTGCTCCGCACAGTGGCGATACTGTAAGCGACCATTCAGTCCCAGACCCCCCCTGCCAAGACTCAGCTACCGGTTTAGGCAGCGTTGATGCCCCCACACATGTTGCTGTGCGCATCTTTGTCACCGACTTTCCCATCGAAGGTCTTGAGGTCCCAATCGCAGCCTGCTCAGATGTAGTCTCTACTCTGAGCGCCGTTGATCAATCTTGGCATGGACCTTTGCGTGCGTACTTCCCGTACTTAGCATATGTGCGACCACAGCCTGACCCGAGCCACTTGCTGTGCATAGCCAGTCCTTCTTGGCCTGGCATTTCTTGTACAGTTTGCTTTGACTTGGCCGCCGTTGACGGACGTCAATTTGCTGCACAGCTCCCTCCCAGGATTGACAGGTATATCGCCATGCAGTTTGCAGGCCTTGCCCCTGCAGCTGAGATTGACCTTTACTGTCCCGGTCGCCAAGATCCACTCGTAGATGGCGATGAACTGCTTGTTGGCCACGGTCACTGCTTTTCTTTTCGCCCACGAGGGACAGGACCGCCACCCTGTTGTGATATTCTTGTAGCTGGCAGACTTGCTGCTGGCCCAAACACTTCGCCCGAAGCTGCCCCCCCGGGAGTGTACTATTGCTTAGTCACCGACCTCACCTATCGGCCTTTCTTGCTGCTTCCCGAAAGGTCCGTCTTTTACAGGGCCGACATCGCTTCGACTAATGGTATGCGCCTTTGGTGTCTGTCAATTGATCCAACGCAACCGCCTGTTCAAGACGCCTGTGTACAAGGCCGTTTGTGTAGGACTGTTGTCGCCGTTGGCGAGCGAGATAGTCAGCCCGATGACGACCTGAACGTCGGTCTTCTTGATTGCCGACTTCTGCAGCAAGGATGGTTCCGGATCTTCTCCAGCCATGATTGGCTCCCTCTCGAGCCTATCCGCAACAGTCTCCTGCAGAATGCACCTCGGGGATGGATTGTCTCTTTCGTTGGAGTTGCACCGCATTGGGATTGGACTTGGTTTCGGCCAGGCCAAGTGCTTACTGCCTTCTACGAAGTAGCTCCTATTGAGACTCCGAGGTCCGTCCAATCAGGCGCCTCTACAGACCTTCCTGATGATGACACTGAGGCTTCGTCCCCGCCCACGCCTACTGACGGCAACAGCCAGCCTCCACATGACCTATCCCAGCTTGGGTCGCCTTCGCACCCCCAGCCAGATACATCAGGGAGTGGAAATTACGATGGGCATTCATCTGGTTCCCCAGTTTACCAAAGCCCTGCCTGGGTCGATGACGAATCCGATTTCTGGTTCGCCTGCTGTCAGCTTGTGTTACCATGCATCATTGGGTTTTGCGGAGGCCTCCTTCGGCTCCCCACAAGCCGCGGACCACGTTTATCCGTCCTTGCTGCCCTTGTCTTCCTCAGCACTTTGCCAGGCCAAGTCCAAGCAATGCAAAGAACACCCCCAGGGCCATCTTGGGGTTCTCATCCCCCTCCTCTACTCCCCTCTGCCTGTGTTGAGACCACCGACCCAGCAGGCATTGCCACACTTGTTCGTCGCATCCCTACCCCGTGCCGAACCAGGGCTGATCGCACACCCGTGCCAATGCCCTCATCAGCCGCCTTAGAGGATGGAGGTGATAATTTTGGGAATCTAGGACCCTTGATTACCCTTCTCGAAGACAGTTGCCACCACAGTCGTGGCCGCCCTTTTATGCTTAGCGCCACTTTGCTTGACACCCTTGTCGAGAATGCACAAGTTGTCGCAGCAATCCCTGCTGAGCCTAGTAGCCATGCAGGAAATGACCAGTGTGTCCTCAGCTTGCGCAAAGCCATCGGCACCACTCAGCACTTTGACCTCACTGTTGCTTCTATGCCTTCACCTTTCGTCCTTGCCGATGTTGCAGCAGTTTTGAGTGGCACTTGGGTCCTCCCCTCCCTCCTACCAGAAGGCTTGCACCTGCACCCGGCAACCGCCAAGGCTTGGCCAGACCTCGTCAGTGTTGAGCAAGGACTTGCAGCCGGTCTTGACAAGGTTTCTGTTTTTACTGACGGTTCTTATGATGGCACTAGCAGCTTCTGGGCCTTTGTGTCCTTTGGCCACTCACAGTCAGGAACCTTCCTGCTTGCATGGGCGCGCGGCCAGGTTGCAACCGGTGACGAAACACGCAGCATAGGAGCATCAGAGCATAGTGCGGTCAACGGGGAACGCACTGCAGTCTTCTGGGCCCTCGGTTGGCTACTTGGCCTATCCAAACAAGTTCAGAAGGAATTGCACAGTGATTGCATTGTTGCTGCCAGACAGGCCGATGGCCACTTTGGAGCAGTGTCGCAACTTGCGATCGTTAAAGCATGTCGCTCCTTAGCCCAGGTGCATGACGCACTTGGCCCCGGTTGCACAGTGCCCATCTACCACGTCAAAGGGCACGAGGGCCACCCGTACAACGAACTTGCAGATGTGCTTGCCGGAGCATGTGATGTCCCAGAAACTGATTTGCCGCCCCATCTTCTTCACACTTGTCGATGGGCACGACAGCACTCTCTTGAATGGCTATGGCTAACTGTCGCAGCTATGCAGCAGTCCACCTCGCTTCCTCAGTATAATGGCAACGCCCTTACTGATACAGTCGGCCATTCAGATCTCGCTCACCTTGAGCTCAACCCTTGTTCTGCCTTTGGCCCTGCCTTTGCCAGCGTTCCACCCAAGGCACCGTCCACTGGTTTTCGCTTCTTCGCGAGGTTCGTCACGGTTAATGTCCAAACCCTCGGTGAGGACTCCGTTGCACAGGTCAATCGGACACCATTTGTTCGAGCACAGCTTGAGTCAGTTGGGTGTCTTTTTGCTGGCCTTCAAGAAACACGTGCCAGAGCGACTGCAACGGTCACATCCCAAAGCCACTACAGATTCCTCTCGGCAAGTGACTCTCAAGGCAATCTTGGTGTTGAACTCTGGGCCTCCCGCACTGTCCCAGTCGGATGGGTTGACCATCGGCCTGTGTACTGTGACCTTTCCGACTTCTGTGTCCTGCATTGGTCACCAAGATGCCTGATTATTCGATTTGTCAAAGGCACTTTCCGGCTACTCTTAGTTGTTTGCCATGCACCAACAGCAGGGCATGCACAACGGGACTCTTGGTGGAGAGAGTTCTCCGATCGTGTCATACAATGTGCCGGGCAAAACCGAGTTGTTGTGCTAGGGGATCTTAATGCCAGACTTGTGCATCCAGTCCCACACCGTGTTGGGGATTTGCTGTGGGAACATGAGCATGAGCCTCCATCCCACTTCTTTCGACTCCTACGATTGCTCGACCTTTGGGTTCCAGCGTCTTTTACTGCTTGCCACACTGGCCTGAGTCACACGTGGGTTTCTCCTGGGGGAGCTGCTGTTTCCCGCATTGACTACATCCTGATCCCTTCTGCCTGGGAAGTTCAGCCAGGCGGTTCTCAGGTCCTATACTCCGTCGATTTTGGCCATTCTGGCCTTGATCACTTTGCAGTGAGGCTTGACATTGATGTTGTCCACTCTGTTAAGGGCCTTGGCAACCAGGCCGTTGGCACTTTTGACAGGGCCAGGTTGCTCCAGCCTGAGTCCCAGCCTGAACTCCACCGGATCTGTGCCTCAGTGCCTGCTGTTCCTTGGAACCTTGATGTGCATTCACACTATCAATGTGTTGCGGGATACCTTCACGACCAGCTTGCAGAAGCCTTCCCCAAACAGCGATCGGCGCGCCGACGCACTTTCTTCTCAGATACCACCTGGTCCATGCGACAACAGCGTGTCTGGTGGAGGCGACAGGCACACAAATTTAGCTTTGCACTCACACATGGCCCACTTGCTTGGGCCTTTGCTGCCTGGCGTACCTCGCGCCCCTGGAGTTCGGCAGTCCTTGCTCATATTGCAGGTGTTTTCTCCGACATCGCAGGGTTGCACACTGCAGTCCAGGAGCTCCGTTCGCTCAAGCCGGCTTTTCGCCGCTCACTCTGTGCTGACCGCAAAAATTACCTCTCTGCTGTCGCTGATGCTGCCTGCCGTTCGTCCACCAAGGACGTTGTTGCCAAAATGCGTCCTCTCATTGGGCCCCCAAGACGCAAGCAAAGGGGTGCCGTACCATTACCAACAGTTCGCCTTGAGAATGGCGAGCTCGCCCAGGAGCCTGATGAAGTTGAGGCGCGCTGGGTCCGGCACTTCAGTGCCGTGGAGTTCGGCGGTCCCGCCAAGCCTGAGGAACTCATCAGCAACTGCCTCCAAAGGCAGGCTCGCATTGACCTTGATGGCCTGGAGATTGACCTTGCCGAGCTGCCGTCCCGTCTCGACCTAGAGGCCGCCATGAGATCCGCGAGGACTGGAAGAGCATCAGGCAACGACGCTCTGCCGGCAGAGTTGTGGAAACTCCAGGCTCCCGTCCTTTCCCAAGTTCTCTACCCGCTGATGCTCAAGGCCGCGTTCCGCCTCACCGAACCTCTGCAATTCAAAGGAGGGTCCATGCATAAAATATGGAAAGGTCGCGGACCCATGCAGAATTGCGACAGCTACCGTGGTATCCTGGTTTCAAGTGCTGCAAGCAAGTGCATCCACGGTGCGTTTAGGCGCAAATGCGCTGAGTGGTACGAGACTCTCTCCACACCACTACAACTTGGAGGTCGGAAGGGCTTTCCAGTTCAGCTCGCCGCCCAAGCCGCTAGGGCCTTCCAGGCAGCCGCGCTTCGTCAGAAGCTCAATGTTGCAATCGTTTTCCTCGACCTCCGTGAAGCCTTCCACCGTGTTGCCAGACCACTTATACACGGAGGAGCTTTAGACGATGAGCACATCGCACAAGTTCTGTCAGTTTTTGGCATTCCTGCCGATGGCATGGAGGAGCTGCGTACATACGTCAGGGATGTCTCACTCATACGGGATGCAGGTGCCTCGCACTGGGCTGCAGCCATGTTAAGCGAGTTCCAGACTGATACTTGGTTCACTATTCGAGGGCATCTTGCAACAGTCCGTGCTGGGACTAGGCCGGGCGATTCTCTCGCCGACGTCGTTTTCTCCTTCCTTTTCGCAGCAGTCCTGCGGCGGCTACGCCAGGCACTCCTTGATGCGGGGGTCTCAGTCCTGCTCCCATGGCATGCCAACTGGGAGGGACATCTTCAGCCACAACAGCAACAGCCCGACGACACTTTAGCGCCCATAGACGTGTCATGGATGGACGACCTTGCTCTGCTGATTTGGTCCCACACAGCTGAGGGACTTATCACTGATGTCACTCGTGCATCAGAGATACTCCTTGATGAATGCCTCCGGGCCCTCATGCATCCCAACCTTGCCCCAGGTAAAACCGAAGCCCTTGTCTCGCTTCTTGGGCCCGGTTCCAGAAAACTTCGAGTGCGTCTTTTCCGGGACAAGGACCCTGGAATACAGCTCAGTCCGCAGCTGCACCCCCCTGCGAGACTTCGCCTGGTGCCACGCTATAAGCATCTCGGAGGCATTTTGCACTGGAAAGGCACTCTTGCCACCGAGCTTCGCGTTCGCATTGCTCAAGCTTGGCAGGCTTTCAGGAAGCACAGGCGAGCCGTTTTTCCCGAAAGCTTCGCGAAGGGTTCTTCCGTGTGGAACGCCGCAGTTGAGTACATAGATGACAGACATAGAATCAACTTACTTGACTCCATACTTTACTCTACACTTGATACTTGACTCTACACTTGATACTTACTTACTTACTTGTGACTTACTCTGTGACTTACTCTGTGACTTACTCTGTGACTTACTCTTGACTTACTCTGTGACTTACTCTGTGACTTACTCTGTGACTTACTCTTGACTTACTCTGTGACTTACTCTGTGACTTACTCTCTGACTTACTTACTCTCTGACTTACTCTCTGACTTACTCTGTACCTCTCTACATACTCTCTACATCTCGTGACTTACTCTTGACTTACTCTGTGATTTACTCTGTGACTTACTCTCTGACTTACTCTCTGACTTACTCTCTGACTTACTCTCTGACTTACTCTCTACCTCTCTACATACTCTCTACATCTCGGTATCTAAATCTCTCTTCTAAAGCCAGGGGTGGCACCGTCGTCGTCCATCGGGAATGCAACCCTTCCCAAGGATTCGCCTCCTCGAGCGCCCAAACGCTAGGTAAAGTTACACATTTTAGGCGCCCGGCGCAACCCTTCCCAGGGATTCGCCTCCTCGACCGCCCAAACGCTAGGTAAAGTTACACATTTTAGGCGCCCGGCGCAACCCTTCCCAGGGATTCGCTGCCTCGGGCGTTCAAACGCTAGGTAAAGTGACACATTTTAGGCGCACCGCGCAACCCTTCCCAGGGATTCGCTGCCTCGGGCGTTCAAACGCTAGGTAAAGTGACACATTTTGCGGTTCCCGCGCAACCCTTCACAGGGATTGGAACTCTCGGGCGTTCAAACGCGAGGTAAAGTTACACATTTTAGGGTTCCCGCGCAACCCTTCCCAGGGATTCGCTGCCTCGGGCGTTCAAACGCGAGGTAAAGTTACACTTCTTGCGGGCGCCGCGCAACCCTTCACAGGGATTCGCCTCCTCGGGCGTTCAAACGCGAGGTAAAGTTACACTTCTTGCGGGCGCCGCGCAACCCTGCACAGGGTTTGGGTGCAGTTCAATTTTTTTTGCAACCCTTCACAGGGATTTGCATTTTGCAACCCTTCACAGGGATTGGCATGGTCGAATGCACGAACGCTAGGTAAAGTTGCATTTTTTGATGTGCATTGAAATGAATTTTGCAACCCTTCACAGGGATTGGCGTGGTCGAGTGTTCGAACGCGAGGTAAAGTTGCAATTTTTTATGTGCATTGAGATGAATTTTGCAACCCTTCACAGGGATTGGCGTGGTCGAGTGTTCGAACGCGAGGCAAAGTTGCAATTTTTGATGTGCATTGAAATGAATTTTGCAACCCTTCACAGGGATTGGCGTGGTCGAGTGTTCGAACGCGAGGTAAAGTTGCAATTTTTGATGTGCATTGAGATGAATTTTGCAACCCTTCACACAGATTGGCGTTGTCGAGTGTTCGAACGCGAGGTAAAGTTATTACTTTTGATGTGCATTGAGGTGAAACTTGCAACCCTTCACAGAAATTGGCGTTGTCGAGTGTTCGAACTAGTACTAGTACTACTACTACCACTACCACTACTACAACTATTATTACTACTACTACTGCTACTACTACCACTACTACAAAAGAATACTACTACTACTACTACTACTACTACTACTACTACTGCTACTACTAGTACTACTACTACTACTACTACTACTACTACCACTACTACTACCACTACTACTGCTACTGCTACTACTGCTACTACTACTACTACTACTACTACTACTACTACTACTACTACTACTACTACTACTACTATTAGTACCACAACAACAACTACAACTACAACAACTACTACTACTACTACTACTACGACCACGACTGCGACTACGCGACGACGACTACTACTACAACTACTACGACTACCACTACTATCACTACTACTAGTACTGGTACTGCTAGTACTACTACTGCTACTGCTACTACTACTACTACTACTACTACTACTGCTGCGACATAAAGTGACCATGCATAGAGTCATAGAGTCACGTTGAAACCACAGTAATCAGGGATGTCTATATAGTGAGGTTCCGGAGCTAGGAAAGGAAGACTTCTGCGTCATGTTGGACTATACTCTAAACCCGCTAAACCTGAACATTAGTGTTCATAGAGTGAACTACATCAAGTCAAGTGCGTGGTACATAGATGACTCCATGACTCTATGACTCTTTCTCACTCTGACGCTATGACTCTATAACACTATGACTCTATGATTCTGTCTCACTGTGACTCTATGACTCTATATGACTCTATGACTCTTTGAACTATGACTTGTGCTTGACATGTACTCGACTCTATTTCTCGATGACTCTATGAACTATGACTTGTACGACTCTTGACTGTATGTGACACTCCGACTCTGTGACTCCGTGCTTTTGACTCGGTGACTCTATGACCCTATACACTGGATTCTATGACGTAGCGTAACACTCTTCGCTGATGATGCTTTCGGGCCAATTGTCTTCTAGTTGCTTCACCAGCGGTCACGCACCGCGAAAAAGCTTTGCTGTTCCAGTCCCTAGTTGCCTCGACTCTTTTCTATGGTGCAGGGACTTGGGTCTACGGTGGCACTGCTGAGCTCGATTCCCTCCGAGGCGCCCAGCTCTCCATGGCACGGCAAATGTTGCGCCCAACGTACCGCCACGAGGAAGCCTTGCACCTTGGCGCTGGCCGCATCCTTGCTACGGCGCGCCTTCCCACTGTTGATGTCGAGTTGCATGCAGCACGCCTGCGTCACCTTGCGCTTGTTTTGCGTAAGGCACCAGTCGAGTTTTGGGCAATTCTTCACTTCGACGGCTGTTGGAACAGTCTTGCTGCCGACTCTATACAATGGCTCCGTCAGGTCTTCGCCCAAACTGGCCCAGAGCACCCTGACCTACGCACTTGGCAGGATGTAACTGCTTTCATTGCTGCACGCCCACAGTCATGGAAGCGTGTTATTTCACGTGCCGTTACTATTGCGCAGCTGCTTGCGTTATGGGAGTCTGAGACTGCCCACTATCGGGGCTTGATGCTGCGTTTCCTCATTCAGCATGGCGCTCACATCACCACAAAGGATTGTGAGGGCGAGAGCCAGCGAGAAGTATGCGCTCCGTGTCGCCAAGTTTTTCCCAACCTGCGCTGTTGGAGCCATCACGCTTTTAAATGCCATGGGAGAGTGCGCGAGGAACGGCACTTTGCGTCAGGCACGCAGTGCCGTGTCTGTTTGCGCCATTTCGCCACCAATTTCAGACTCTGCAACCATCTGCGCCATTCCAAGGCATGTTTAGCTGCTCTTGTCTCTGCCGGAAAAGCCGGGGTCGTCCAGCCCGGTAAGGGCAGCAAGAAGTTCCTTTCAGGTGAGGATTCCATTTGTCCTGCTGTAACAGCAGCTGGTCCCAAACAGCCAGCATGTCCGGACGATTATATTCCCGAAAGCCAGCGAGCAGATGAGGATATCCTTGCTGCACTCGAGGATGTTTTTGCCCATCCTGGGCCCGTCCACGACTTTACTGGCCTTGTTGAAGCAGCTCGAATCCACTTTAGTCGGACATGCCTTCAGGGATCGCGCCTGCGGGCCACTGCTGTCCAGTGGCGAAGCACCCTACGTGAGGAACTTGACCGATGCGATGATGTCCCAGTCCAATGGGCAGCATGGCATACACGCCTCGCAGATTTACTTTGCGAAGTCGATTTTGCGGCCTGGCTTGTTCCTGCCCCTGATGGCACCCAGCCACAAGTCTCTACGTTTCGGGATGCAGCAGCTGCCTTGTCTGGTCTTGCACTAGACTTCGTGCATATCCCAAGGTGCCTCCCATCTGCCTCTGATCCGGTGTTCTACTTCGCTGCAGTGCCTGCCCCAGGATCGTCTGATCCACAGTGGTCCTTTGTGCCTCACGACACCTGCCTGACCGACCCAAGCCACCTTGACTTTGCCTCCTGGAGTCGCACCCCGACTTCGGTTCGAGGCTTCAGTCTTGTCGGCCTGCTGTCTGACTTCTCCTGTCCTTCTCCAATGCGCTCGTACAAGCAGCTTCTGCCGCACCTTCGACGCCTTCGGCTTTTTGCCGATTTCGTCAGAGGAGTTGTGCTGTTGTGGACTTCTGGTTGCCCGGCTTTCCTTGTTGTTCCACCCATCTCCTGTCCTGGCATCGAAGTGGTACGTCGTCTTGCTCGGTACAGACGCAAGGAGCATTTTGGCGAATTCTTCGCCAATTTCCCAGAAGCAGACAGCTTTGTTCAATGTTTCACACTCTAATTAGGTGCTTCTAGGCTGCATCCAACCAGGATCCCGTGCCTTGAAAGTGAAAGTGAATATATATATATATATATATATATATATATCATCATCAACCGTACCTCGGAAACCCCGGCCTGGATCAAGGCCTTGGCGAGCCACTTCGACCGGCCGTCCGCGCGCTTCTGGAGGACCTTGAGCTGATAAAGCGCAGGAAAAGGGGCCTTATGTAAAGGGTCCGAAGAACCTTTATAGTAGAATGTAGGGTTTCTTGATTCGGAGTTACCTTTATGATTTGGGGAAGCATCCCCTGTAACAGTACTTTAGACCCTTTGGGTGAACAATCTGGGTTCTTGTTAAGGGGTTTAGGGTAATTTAGGGTACCATAATAAAGAAACCATAAAATCCACCATAGATCTCTATGTGGTAACTTGATTTAAACTCCTTAACAAGAGCCCAGTAATTAGAGCAGGATTCGTTTAAGGGTTCCGCTAATGGGATCTAGAAGGATTACTGTTCGGGGTTCCTTTAAAGGGATCTAGAAGGACTACTTAAGGGATTGCGGCAGACATGAAAGTGTTTTCACACACGTTCACCAAGTAAGCAGAATGTCCAAGAAGCCCCCATAAACCCCCAAGGAATCCACCCAAACCTCCTGCTAAGCTTGACACACAGGGTTTGGGGGTTTAACTAGGGTTTAGGTCCAACGTTCAGGGGTTTAGGGTTGAGGGGTTTAAAGTTCCAGAACCAAAAAGCCACCCGCACATCCGACTCAAGCAGTGCTCAAAACCTGCCTGCTCAAGCTCGACAGTGGCCGCTGGAGCCTGGAGACAACGATGCGGGCTTAAGAGGGCTTAGGGCTTAAGAAAGGGCCCTTAACAATAACGATAAGGTTTTAAGGGCCCATTATACTATAGTTATAGTAAGGAACCCCCGAAATAGTATAGGTAATCATTTAGGTCCCCATATTAAGGGCTTGGGGTTGCGAAGATCTGCGTTTGTGCGCTTGAGGGTTTAGTTTCGGGTTTAGGGCTTTAGGGGCCAAACAAAAGAAAAGAAGAAGCTAAAGCCCTGTTACCGCAGGAGCCGTCCTGGACTTGCCCTGCCATGTGTTTGACATCAGCAGGTGAAGAATTGCGATTTGTTGCCGTTGGCTGCAGCATTGGATCTAGGACCTACCATTCCTACTCGCATACTTCTTCGGTTCGATATTTCGAGTCTGGGTTCACAGAGTCTGTTTACATAGCCCCTAAACCACGAAGCCTAAACTCCAACAACCTGGCCCCCCAACGACTATCAAGGACCGTAAGGACTCTACTGAAGGGCCATTGGGGAGTCCTGGAACGGCCCTAAGATTTCCGGAATAAGAGTCTTTAGGACTTCTTGAATTAACTCGCTTGTGCTCTTCTCAGAGCCTAAAGGTCGTTAAGGGCTAAGGGATTGCGGTTTAGGGATTAGGCTGTCGGGTTTAGGGATTATCCAGGTCGGGAAGGTGGCCGACAGTTGAAAATGAAACACTCGCCGCTTTGCCATGGGCTGAGCAGAAAACGCCACTTTAAAGATGATGGCTCTAGGCTCTAGTTGAACACATGCAAACTGAGCCGAATGCTTATGCATTGGAAGGTTGTCAGCCCTACGTCCTTGTCCCAGTATCCGGGGAACTAAAGGCTCACCTTTGGGAATATATTGGGCTTATATAGAGATTATGGTGCCCCGAAAAAGGTTAAAGCGCAACGTGGAATAAGCTGCGTCCCCAGCGAAAGGCGTGAGACGAGCTCCTCCGAAAAAGGTTAAAGGTTACCTACCGCCACCACTATGCTTAATTGAAGTGTCGGCCTCGGGCCGTCACATAAGTTTGGGGCTCAGGGTTTGATGCTTCAGATTTCAGTTTCTGAGTACCTAGTTGCCGAGTTCATTGCCCAAAAAAGTTTAAACTTTCAGTCTTAAGAGGGTTTCATTATGCCAAAAAGGCTTAAAGTTTATAAACTCAGCTACTACGAGTAGCACCAGTGGCACTTTACTGACAAGGGTGGCCTTGTTCCTGCTTTTATTTGGCTTTCATAAAGGGAACCCAGAAAGAAAAAGGGACTTCTCGACTGGGGAACCTCCTTCAACGTTTAAGGCTACGCTTTAGGTTTTATGGTTTTTTTTAAGTGCAAGGGTTTAAGGTTTAGGGTTTAGGGTTTAGCTTACGGCCCCCAGTTGAAAGCCGGTTCGGCTCTTGTGCTCAAATGAACTGCCACAGGATGGCCGCAAGCGTCCACCAAGAAATCATTGAGACTACAGTGAGGAGAAGGCCAGGGTCGTTTTGACGGAAGACATAGACCTGGATCGCGTAGCAGGCGGCGAAGAGCGAGAGCGCCAATATCACGATTCCCAAAGAAAGCAAGAAGTCCAAGTATATCTTACAACATCGTGCTCGCAAGCGGTAGCACAAACGGAAGCCCAGTTTGTCCACCACCGGGAAAATGGCTAGCCAATACGTGAACATCTGGGCCAGGTCGACTACCTGTCGGATGGGATCTCCTGCATGGCTAGAAACATACTCGAGACGAAGCCAGGCCTGCGGAGTAAGCACTAGCAGGACTCGCTGATAAGACAAGACTTTGCTTGCAAGCTGATCGATGACGGCCATCCGAACTTCGGCTTGCACTTGCGATTCAAAGCGGTCCAGTGAGTTGTACCACGCAGCGATGCACTGAAGAATGATCTCACGGTCGCGTAAAGGCCTGTTTCCATGGTCGCCGTTGCAGCAAGTTCTCGCATGTTCCACCTTGAACTCGCGGAGTTGCTCTTGCAGCGTGTCAATGCTGCGGGCATAACCTCGCCAAGCGTGCGTCACGAAGCTGGAGAGCAGGCCAAGAAGAGCGACGATCATGATATATTGTTCTCCCACGGCTATGTCTATTGCCTCGTCTGAAGAGACCAGGGAGGATTCTATGTACAAGAAGAGCACTCCTAGCACGCAGAACAGCATCTCACCGCCCAGAAGCACTGGCCCTAGCAAGGGAGGAATTATCTGCAGATCTGCCTTGCAACCTTCAGTGCGGCTGTGCAGAAACGCAGCGACTTCGAAGATGCACCACCTCGGCTTAAAAACAGGGGAGACTTGTCTCTACCCATTAGTGTTAGTATTAGTTATTAGTATTAGTACTAGTATTAGTACTAGTCTTAGTGTTAGTATTAGTATTAGTTATTTATACTATAACTTCCTCGATAGGAGCCCTACCTTCGTCTGTGTAGGTACTTGGGATCCTCTGAGGGCTCCGGAGGGCTGGAAAGCCCCGCATACGAAAAGAGTGTGTTTGTTTTTTTTCGCAACTTGGCCTAAGCCAGGTGGAAGTCCAAGTCACAGTCTTGTGACCCATGTGGGATCCCAGAAAACCAGCATGGAAGTCGACTGACTCAAAAATGCACCCATACTTATGATCGCCTCTCCCTTTCTGTCTTCGTCAGTTTGGTGAACGCACGCGACGTCCAGAAAAACTAGCTTTCGTGGACGCCAAAGTAGCAAGGCGATGCAAAAGGTTAGAAACCCGAAGAGGAGGCACCAGCCCTGTCGTGCACCCAGAGATCCTGCTGAGACGAAGCCGCAGGCTACGCTTGCACTTAATGTTCCTGCAATGCTTGCCGGCATGCAATTATTCAGGTAAAGCATGTTGGCATACTTGGTCCACTGCGACCCATGCCAGCTGTGGGACCAAAACTGATCCAGATGTGTTGTCTGCTGACTTAACCCGTGCAGATCCTTGAGATTGCCGCGTAGCCACGCCGACGGCAAGTAACGCAACAGCTTCCAAACACGGACTCCACGTACTATTTCTGGCCGCGTTGCCTTCATCTGTGTAAAGAAAGCAACGGACAATTGCATCAGCTCGAGAACTCGGTCGTCCTCTTCATCTTCCTCTTCTGAAACTTCCGGAAATTCAGGCGGAACTTGGTCGTCTGTGACGATCGAGACCTCTCGATCACTAACCTCTGGATCAACATCCTCGGGATCAACACCCTGGGTCAAAATATCCTGGTGCTTGCCCAGCACCGTCTCTGAGTGTTGCGGCATGGCTCGGTCGACTCAACGTGGCGAGCTTCAAAGGGCTCCGGGTTAGGGGTCTTGAATTGTGGGGAGCTGTTCCACTTGGCCACTTTCTGACACTGCCTCAGAATAGTGTTTAGGACTCCGTCGGGTTTCTGATTTAGGGTTTATGGCTCATGGCATCCATACCATATATCGTGTATGTGTCTATTCACATATACACATACACACACACAGAGATACTACATACATAGCATTAGATAACTTGCTGGCAACGAAGGTCTTCCTATAGTATCCATTGTAGTTCTTTTTTTGGGTTAACCAAAATCTCTATTATAGGGTCCTAACCATAAAACTGGTTAACCAATTCAAGGAATACAATGGAGACTATAGGTTGGTTCCAGATCACGACTCTACGGCACATGCAAACTCCAAGAGCCGACGCTGGCGCAGCAGCAAAGATCAGCCAGGGCGGTTCACATCAACTTTGGCGGAAATGCTCTCGGCTTAGGGCTGTGGGGCTTGGCTTTTGCAATTTCTGCTGCCTCGTTCATAACATTGAGCCCACCAAGCAGGAGGGCCTCAGAACCCGCTCCCTTTCAAAGAAAGCTCTCATCTCCATCACTACATACAGCGTGCCTGTGGGATCTTCAACGTTTGTCGTGTGGGATCATGAGATGCTTTCTCGTTCAGTCAGAGGTCTCGCGTTTAGGGTTGGAGGCTGAACCGCCTTTTAGTCTCCATCGTAACAATCCTTTTGTTGGGCTCAGGCGCCTACAAAGTTAACCCCGCGAAAGAGAACTACAATAGTATAGGTACTCCATGGTAATCCTGCACCCAAACCCTAAACCCTCACTATAAACCCTACACCCTAAACCACCACCCTAAACCCTAAACCCCGAACCACCACCCTCAACCCTCCCTGAATTGTAAACACGAGCTCCTCCCAACGCTAAGGCTCGGCCCCTGAAGAGGAACCATAATACAAACTAACAAAGTTCTCTTGAGTTTTATATAAAGAACCGAAATACCCTAAAACCTAAACCTTAAACCCTAACCCCTGCTTAATTCCTACCAGAACCCCAAAAGTATGTAGAATAAGAGGCGTTTATAGGCATTGGGCGGTTTAGGTAAGGAGACTTTATTGAGGCTCGGCCCCTGAAGAGGCGCCTTCTCCGCCGCCTGGCCCTTCTTGCCACCCCGATCGCCTCTCCGTGCGACCTTAAGTGGCATGCGGGTGACGTTTAAGGTTTAGGATTTGGGATTTTATGGATCAGGGTTTAGGATATAGTGTCTAGGGTTTGTATTTCATGGTTGGGATCGTCCTAACAATCGATTTGGTTTATTCTTTTTGGGGTTTCAGTACCCATAAACATGTAAACTTTTACCCAGCTATGACACAGGCTTAGCGTTTAGGGTCGGGGGCCGTAAAACCTGAAGCCCAACCGCAAACCCTAAACCCAGGCTTATAGGGTTTTTTGGAAGCCCAGGACTTCGAAAAGTCATGGGCCTCAGGGTTTAGGGTTGAGGGGCTTCGGTATTGAGGGTTTAAGGTTTAGGGGCTTCGGTTTTGAGGGTTTAGGGTTTAGGGGTTTCGGTTTTATAGGGGTTTGAGGTTTGCCCCCGAACCGTAAGACGATCTCCTGCTCCCGGAAGCGCTCAGGGCTAGATGGTCTGCCGAATTGAGGGTGAAGGGTTTAGGCTGCACCACATTTGTGGGGGCTATATGGACTGCTTAAGTTGTCCAGCCTGAGAACACCCGCCGAAGAAAGTCCTCGCTAGTAGTTTGGTAGTACAATCAGGAACCCAAAGGAATAATGACCATCTAGCTGATTTTCTCAACACCTTTAAAACACCCTGAAGCCAGAGGCTTGCCAGTCCCATTTTCACGCAATGCCAGCTTCCTTCGGCTGCACCGCCCGCGGCAAGGAAGTGGCTCCTGACACGGAAACATTCGCCAACCCTTTAACAGCTGTTCACATTTTCATACCACGACACTGCAGTATCCATGGTCAGAATTAGGCAGTCGCCAAGACTAAGGGCGGCAAAACATGACTTAGGCACTTATTAGGTTAACAGCAATGATCGATTACGAAAAGTAAGCTGGAACTCAAAACAACTCCAAGACTAGTTGCAATATTCTTAACAACAGTACTACTACCACATGTATATTCAAGCAGTGATAGAGGGGGCCTATGGGCTGAAAATACCGCTCTAGCCATACGAAGTATCGGCAATCCATGAACTGCTGAACCCAACCCCTGCAGTCCTTCCGAAACCCATAGCTACTTGCCTTCCCCCAGTATGCCCTCAATCATGACGGCACCGATTTTCCACTGTAGCATGAATAGGAATTGTTGGGGGGCACTGAAACAATAAGGACACAAGTACTCCTGGCGGACCCGGCAAACTTCCAGACCCTTATGACCGAAAACTCCTTTAGAACACTTATCGGGCCCCGAGATAAACCCGAAGAAGCCCTAATTCCCATAGAATTAGAATCTTTTGCAGCCCCCGATGCTCCCTCTTAGCCAGTCCTGACAGTCAGACGCGGCCAATGGTGGTCGGCAGGGCGCCGCCATGCGCAGTTCCTGCCGTCGGGGCATGGGGTTTCCCTTGCCGAGTTTAAGATTTGGGGGTTTCCAAAGACTAGGGGTACCTTATTTGGGGTCCTTATATTGAGGATCCTACTATCTAGAGTACTATATTAGGGTCCCCCATTTTCAGAAACTCCCATTCGCAGTCATTGAATGCCGGAGCCTGATCATGGGCTGCAGAGCCCCAGGTTGAAGTCCAAAGACCGAGAGGGATCCTCCATAGAAGAACCCCCCAAAACACAAGCAGCCCTACTTTCTGTAGGTTCTGGGCTTAGAGCTCACGTTTTGGGGTTGAGCCGGATATCTGTAGGTTCTGGGCTTAGAGCTCACGCTTGGGGGTTGAGCCGACCCGGATATTGTCCATAATATGACTTCCCAAGCCAGCGCGCACCAAAGCCTTTTTGTTACCACAGGATCAAGTGGTACCAAAGGGGCGGTGTCCATCCCACTTTCTCGAGCCTGAGCTGGGGTTTTGGCTGGTGTCTGCACGACCTTTTTGGATTTTTCTTGAGAGCCTTTACAGGGAACTCCAGAAAGTTGGAATATGGTTTCAGGGTAGGATACCTTATAATTTACCATAAAGGGCTTAGGATAATCATATTCCAACTTTCTGGCTTCTACTGTAGGCCTTTCGGTTTTGTAAGGGATCTATAGTAGGGTTCTATGGTACAGAGGCCCTTATAATACTTGCCTACATAATCTTGGTGGGTTCCTTATTGCTGGTGCAGAATTGGTGTGCTTCTCTGCCGGTGATTGGCTGCAAGCCTGATCCCAGAAAAACCCTAAACCCCTTAAACGCAAACCCTTCGTCGTGGGGCCTATGCGCATGCCTAAACAATTCTAGGGATGCTCAGAAAGCTACATGCCTTCCTTGTCTCCGGCATTTTAGGCTGCTGGAAACCTAGCTCTTTCAAGTGGTGACCAATAAATTCTAAACCCTAAACGTTGCCAGGTTCGCAGAAACCCTTCAACACACCATGTTTTGTGTTGCCCAAGTTTCCGGTTACATAAATAGGCAGACCCGAAAATCACAAGGGTCCGAAGGCAGAGCCCGTCCAAAACCCTGCATAAACCCAAATCCCCTTATGCTTGTCACAGGAGCCTTGGCTACTTTCCTAATCACTTCTAGACCCTACACCCTAAACACTAAACCCTCAACAGCCTTCTGAGCCTTCTTCTTACGAGAAGCCAGCCCAATGGACTCACCACAGGCTGTCGAAGCTCACGTCCTCAGGCTTCGATCAAGACGATGCTTAGAGAATCGCTGAAATCTTACACCCTTAGAGGTGTAGGATCTGGGGTTTTGAAACCTAAAGCACTTAAGCCCTGGACCGAAACCACTAAGCACTAAACCTTTGTAATTAGTACCCCTGGACAACCCTTAACGCCTTTAAGGAGCACTTTTAAAAAATTGCCCTCGTAGAAACCCTTTTGTAGCAACCCTCATAACCCCTTAAACTCTAAACTCCTAAAGCCCTAAAGCCCTACATCCTAAAACCCCAACCCCTAAAACCCTAAACCCTAACCCCAAAACCCTAAACCCAAACCCTAAATCTCTAACCCCTCAGCTTTAAACTGCTAAACCCTAATAAAGCTTAACCCATGAAGACCCCAGAGGCCAACTCGGAACTCGCTGCCGAACTCCTCCAAACCACCTGGGCTCCCGGGGGACGCAAGAGGGGCCTCGGAGTTTGCCTTTAAAGGGAACTCCAGAAAGTTGGAATATGGTTTCAGGGTAGGATACGCTATAGTTTACCATAAAGGGCTTAGGATAGTCATCTTCCAACTTTCTGGCTTTTACCTTAAAGGGCTCCTTTAAAGGGTTCCTTTAAAGTGGGTTTAGGGTTTAGGGGTGTAGGGGCTCCTTTAAGGGATCCTTTAGCTTTTTTCAGGGTTCCTTTAAGGAATTAAAGATCTCCCTTGCGGGTGCTACACAGGTCCCTTGAAATTTTCCGTAGAGCGCAGTTATACCTCAGAACTGAATTGTAAAGTTGTTTAAGGCTTCAGCGCTAGGGCAAGAAGACACAAACAACAGCCACAGGAGTTTGGCATTAACGCCTCCACCTCCGCAACCTCAGAGAAGCTACTTCTTCCCCTGGATCGGCCCAATCCTCGTCCTGGGTCTACTTGCAAGACAGGGGCCGTAGCGATTCGTTATGATATAATCGGACGATTACATAGGGCGACCATCCTGTGTAAGATAAGTTGAGGGTCTTGCTGGAGAGTCACGGACAAGCTCCGCCGTGTAGTTGTCGAAAGCATAGGCAGCTCCACCCGTGGCTGGAGCTCCATGAACGACTGTGTGCCCAATGAACCTGGAGTCTTTCGGAACAGGGTGAGGGCGGCAGGAGGAGGGGATCTTACATTTTGAGGGATCCGACTACGAGCAAGGTCTTTTCATGCATCCATCCATGCATGCATACATACATCCAGATACGAACACGGACCCCCAACACTGTACACAGAAACAAACATCGCCTAAGTGCATGTAGGCAACAAATCAACAAGCCGATTCAGGATCACAGTCGGTTGCTTAGGGCCTGTCGGTTAACAGTGTTAAATATAGTACAGTAGAAGCCAGAAAGTTGGAATATCATTATCGTAACCCTTTAAGGTAAATTATAGGGGATCCTACCATTAATCCATATTCCAACTTTCTGGAGTTCCCTTTAGGGCAGAGGTTAAAGGTTACCTACTCAGCCGCTAGGGTTGTGTCAAAACAGCAGACATCGACAAAAATCAGTACTTGTTCATTGCCCTCGTAACACATTGGCAGGTTGCGTGGCACTATTGATTCGAGGAGGTTCATGGGTAGTTACAAGTGGGGTTATAAGTCACCTAATAAGGGTTATAAGTCTAGTTACCTTAAAGACTGAGAACCCCAGTTACCAAGTCCGAAGGCGAATACAGCCCTTGAGCCCAATGAACCCCAAGTACAAAATCCATGCAAAACCCAGTAGCAACTAGAATGCACGCATTTGCCATGAACCGGATAGTCCTACCAAAAGCAATCAAGCCCATTAAGACGTGAAGACATACCTACATCCACATGGAGCAGCACTTAATCAACAAACAAGCAAAACCAACAATAAACTCGGAGGGAAATCGAAACTAGTGTTAAGCCATGATAGTAACAGACTGTCACAGCCTCGCAAGAGCAACAGGGACGATTCGAAACCCAACCCTAGCTCCCCCAATCTGAGCGCTCTACCTCGGCAGCCCCTTTTCAACGTGATACACGCTCAGTGGTTAGCCGAGTTCGGTGGCTCTACGGCGCGTGTATAAAACTCAAAAGGATACATGTTAGCTACTCAGCTACGGAGCAAACATGTGATAGTAGCCAAGCTTGTGAGGGAATGATGATACATGAATAGAGCTCGGTTGCAGTAGCTTATGTTCAGCCTTGGTCCCGTGATGTAACAATCGCCGAAGGAACGCATGGAGACCACAGCCCCCGCGACGCTGCAGCCAGCGCAGCGCATCGGTGAGGATATCCTGCAAAGGAAGTGCTCCAAGGGTAAAAGGAGGGACCCGTTATATGGACCCCCCAAATATATACCCAGAAAATAGCAAACATATACCCAAAATGTAGCCCATTATAGGGTAGGGGTCCCCATTAAGGGTTTAGGGTTCCCAGGCCTGAATCTGAGTTTGTGAAGCGTCTGTTGCATATTGAGAGGGACCTTTACCACAGAATTTGTCAAGGTTTCATTTCGAATCGAAGACGGCGATTGATGCCTTCGTTGGGGGAGCTGTGCTCTTTGACTCTCAATCGTGAAACCCCGATCTTTCCAAAGCCCTGCACCCTGATCTCCCAACTCCCAGATCCAAACCTAACGGAGTGGTTTCGTAGGAGTTTATAGGGTTTGATAAGGGCTTTGAGACGGGGGTCTGGGAATTGAGTTATAGGGCCATAGGGTCTCATCACGGTTCCATGACGAGGTACTTATAGACGCCGTAGGGCATACTCAAAGGATCGCGGGATTCAATAACTGAGGCTAAAGCTGCCCGAATCGGAGCTATCCTATAATAACTCAACAGCCATGCTAAGGTTGAAAGCGACACACCAAGCTTTTGGAGCCTACAAGCTGGCAGCTGGATGTAGAGATTGCAAGTCCGGGCGTTAAGGCTGAAGGCATCTTCTGACTGCTACCCTACTAATAACCCTGCTTGAAAATGTCTGGGGCTGATGGTCCTGAACCCGAAAATATAAACCCTACTCCTTTACGCAAAAACTGTAAACTGCTAACCCTAAACACCCGAAACCTGTAGTCTCAACCTTACAAAGCCCTGAACCCTAAACTCCTGCGCCCTGCACCTCAAAAATCCTGCCCTAGACCCGAAGCCCTGAACCCTAAACCCTGACGTATGATCCTCGAAACCATCATTGACATGACATGTGCAGCTATTCAGATGGAGCCTCCACGGTGGGCTCCAACTCTTCCTGCGGAGCAAAAGCTCGGGTTGTATCTGTGATTTTGATAAGTGCGCAGGGTTTCAGGGATCCGTTAAGGGCTTTTCTTGGTGGAAACCACGAAGCTTTAAACCCAGTGCCCCAAAACCCCAGACCCAGAAACCCGTAATCCTAAACCCTTATAATTTCCTACACTAGTCCGAAAGCCTGAGCCATTCCCAGAAAACTACAGAATTCGTATAGGACTCCCTTCAGGAACCCTCATAGAGCCCTTGTAGAACCCCTCTACTGGGCTCTTGTTAACGGATTTAGTTTAAGTCGCCAGAATAAGGAAACCATGTTATTTACTATAGATCCCTATTATGGTACTTAATTTAATCTCCTCTACAAGAACCCAGTGGGAGTTTCCGAAAATTAGGGAGTACCTTATTTGGGGGGTCCTTATAATAAGGATCCTACTATTTAGGGTACTATATTAGGGTCCCCTATCTTCGCAAACCCCCAGTTGAGGAACCCTTCAAGGAAATTCCTTAACAAGAGCCCAATCATTAGAGCAGGATTCGTTTAAGGGTTCCTTTAAGAGGATCTAGAAGGATTACTGCTAAGGGTTCCTTTGAAGGCCCAGTTGAGGAACCCTTCAAAAAGCCCTGGGCTCCTCTCGGACGACTCCCTGCTGGATCTGACGAAAGCGCGCGCCGGCCCAGGTAATGTCCTCGTCTTCTGGGTGTCGCTTGGAGTTCAAGGGTTCAGGGATTAGGGTTCTACGGTTTTAGGGTTTAGGGTTTATAGGGTTTAGGGATGAGAATTCTATGTTTTTAGGGTTTAGGGGTTTACGGCTTTGGGGGCTTCAGGTTCAGGGCGTTGGCTTAACGGTTTAGGGATTAGGGTTTTAGGATTTCGGGTTCAGGTATTCGGGGTGAAGGCAAATTAGGCTGCAGTACCTCGGGTTTTTTGACGCTAAGACGGAAGAAGCCTGGGCCGAACTAGCCGGAAAGGCTGGCACTGTACTTGGGCTTCGGGGGCCCTGAGATTGAAGAGCCCGCCGATCTGCACCGCCGGTGGAAGTCATGGTTTATGGTTTGGTTTGGGGTTTGGGATTTGAATGGTTTAGATGGGTTTAGGGTTTGGGTGTCTTGAGGTTTCTCTTCAGTGTCATCATATTGAATTCAGTTTAAGTTGCCGTAATAAGGAAATCAGAAATTATCTACTATAGATCCCTATTATGGCAACTTAATTTAAACTCCTTAACAAGAACCCAGATCAAGCGTTTCGTCATAACGGAGACACGCGTCATAGCAGGAAGTACCTCACTCGGGCCAGGGGGAGTCCTTGAGCCTCAGCCCTGGACCAATAAGGCCCTCTTGGCGAAGAGATTTCGGAGCCTCTCCCTGTAAACCCTACCTGGGTATAGGGTTTTAGGGTATCCGAAACTAAACCCAAGCCTAAATCCCTACACCCCTAAACCCCAAGCCCCTAAGCCCCACAAAACTTACGCCCCTAAACCCTAGCTTCTGCTGGAGGGTCTGCAAGGCCTTAACCATGGTAAATACAAGTGTCAATATAGGAGCCTTAATAATTAAAATAGGATTTCGGTGTCCATTATACTGTGATTCTAGGAAGGAAGCCCCAAAAAGTGTTGGTAATTATTTCAGCCCCTATATCCCCTATCTTTATCGATGTTAGCCGCAGCCTGGAGTCCACCAAACATAGATCGAAGGCATAGTCTGGATGGCCACGCTCATCGACTGCGCAATGGACAGGGGAGCTGGGGAAGATATAGTGGCCTTAATAGTTGTTATGATAGAATGAGAACTATTGACACTAAAACGGGTCTTGAGGGCGCTTTAAGGCTCAAGGTTTACTATAGGGATCTCAATAACTAAACAGAGTTGTGGGTGCATCCTTCAGTCTAACAGTAAAACGAACCCGAAGGAATCGTATTGGCAATTATGCAGGCTCCTATAAGACTATATGAACTCAGAAGCTCAGTGAAGGATAAACAGGTGAATGCGAGCAATCTTCCTTGTGCACTCTAACATCCCCCAAGCCTCGTTATCCATTCAGCAATACCCCAAAACCCTGAAGCACCAATCCCCACAAGCAACACCAGCACATTAACAGACACAGCACCCTAATAAAGACTCGAAAAGGTAGGGTCCTGAGTATCAAGGCTCCAAAATACATAAGTCTTTGGAGTAACCCCTATTAGCCTCATAATCCCAGAGACTCCAATATCCCTTAATTAAGGAATATACCTTCAATCATATTAGGGATCCTACTACAATTTAAGGCATATATTCCTTAATTAAGGGACATTGGCGTCTCTGGGATGATCCTCATGCGCGCCCCTGAGAGTCCCTAGCAGACCTGGCAGCGGCACAGGGGCAGCGTCTCTTAGCAGCTTCCATCGGCGGAGACGCATCGGTGCTCGATTCCGCTGGGCGTTTCGCCCAGCAAGCTGCCTCGAGAGGCTCTTGCACACATAAAGAAGTGATCATGCAAAACGCAAAAGACAAGTTTGTTTGCTCGTTTTCAGGCAGGGGTTCACGCTTTGCTTGAACTTGGTCTGAATGCTTGGGTCCCGAACCGAGTCTAGACCTCACACTCACACCGGTTACACTTGACGGATGCCTGCGACTTCTCAAGGCGGCCCTTGTGACACCAGCTAGTCTCCCAAAGGCACAGGCCCAGGCTTCGGGACGTTTCGGGTCTCAGGGGCTTGACCACTCAGGGATTGTTTGGTTCAGGTCGCAACAACTCGTGGGACATCTCCGTGGCCGTGACATTGTGACCCGAGAGGGCAGCCGCAATGGAGCTGAGTCCAAACCCACAGCTGACGTCCAGAATGCCTAGGTTGCCCAGTAGCCCCCCCAAATAATATAGGTACCTCAAGTCTCAAAGAGCTGTACTTATAAAGGTACCCGTTTTCCTGCTATTCGGTTTGAATTAAGAGAAAACAACAACAGCAGCAAAAGGGCACTAAATCCTATAGATCCGGTATAGAACTCTTTACCGAGGCCCTTTAAGGAACCTCAAAAAGTGCAGAAGGGTACTACTCAGAAACCTAGACTGCTGAGGGCTTTTCTGGCCCAAGGCCGGAGCAGCATTGCACCAGCCTCCCAACCATAGTCCTGACGACGACATACAGACAAACGCAAATACAGTAAATAGCAGCATCCCTCCAAAAGGATCTCCCAGAACTTCAGCCCCACATGCACGAGGTGTTAAAGCGCTATAACACCCAGTCACCCAGTCAACGATATTTTGGAGATCCTTTCCGGTCCTGGCAATCCGAGAGCGCCCCGAGAACGTCCTCGACGAGTCGCGCAAAGATCCATCCGGCTGGCCAGAAAGAGCCCAGGGACTTCCCGCCCTCGCCCTGAAGGGTCGGGGGTTGAGGAGTTTGGGGTTTAGGAGTTTCGGGGTTCAGGAGTGTAGGGGTTTAGGGGTTTAGGGTTGAGGAGTTTCGGGGTTCAGGAGTGTAGGGGTTTAGGGGTTTAGGGGTTTAGGGTTGAGGAATTTCGGGGTTCAGGAGTGTAGGGGTTTAGGGGTTTAGGGTTGAGGAGTTTGGGGTTTAGGAGTGTAGGGGTTTAGGGGTTTAGGGTTGAGGAGTTTGGGGTTTAGGAGTCCACTCGCAAAGCCCTAATCCTCAACAACACTGACCCCACCCAAACGCCAAAGCATGAAAGCCCAAGCCCTGAGCCCATCGAGCTTTTTTCGAGAGCCTGGATAACGCCCCGCAGCCCTGAATCCTACACCCTTAACCTTAAACCACCAATACCCTAAACCCTAAACCCTAAATCCTAAACCACCAATACCCTAAACCCTAAACCCTAAACCGACCAACCTCTAAACCTCCAAAAAACAACCGGAAAAAAAAAAAAAAAAAAAAAAACACACACACCCTCTGAGGTGAAAGCCCCCTGCCTCGGAACTCGTCCCGAGGCTCAACCGCCCGGACCTGGGGAGATCGAACTCGACCTTGGCTCGAAATCTGAAAAAAAGGGCAAAACAAATAACATGGTTTTGTAGGGTTTTTCTATGCCCTTGAACTACCATAACGTACTTTTCTGCAAGGTTTTTATGGAAAAACCCTCATAGGGATTTTATAGGGACCCTGCAACAAACTGGGTTTTGGTAGGTTAAGGTAAGGTCTAGCAAAAGTGATTCCAGACATTTCTGGGGCTGCTATGACGGGTTTCAATCGGAAGAGGGTTGTACGGTATACGGGTCTGAAGGTTGAAATCGTCTAGAGCTTCGGGGTGTGGGGAATCAGAGTCTTCAAAGTTGTTCAGCAACTCATCCCTGTGTGTTGTCCCTCCCTCCCTTCTTCCCGAGGATGGTTCTGATTTCGGATGACACTGGCTGACTTCAAGAAGAACTCGGTTGCTAAGAAACCTCTTGAAGACAGGGTGCCCTTTTTGTCGCTTTCTAGAGGGTCGCCCAAGAAAGGTGCATGGGTAGTATAGTTTCAGGGACCATCCTAAACCCCTGTAGATTCTGTCTAGGACCCCTTCTTGCCTCTTGACCCCTTACAAAAACCCCTGCCGCATTTGCCCAGAACCCTTATACCCGAAACCCATAACTGCAGTCCCTAGATCCGAAACCCGAAGCCCCATGCAAGCCAGAAGCCCTACTGCTCCTAGCACTCCTACTCCTAGGAGTAATCCAGAACGCCAGGGTGCGGGCGCCCCGGGCTTCGCGTCGCTAGCAAAGGGAAGTCCCCGCAACCTGAATCTCTCAGGCATCAGAATTTTCGGGAATCAGGGCGTCCAGGGTTTAGGGTTCTGGGTTTGGTTTTAAGCTTCTGACTTTAAATTTGTCTTCAGGCTCCATTTGTGCTCAGGCTCGTTTGTAGAGAATCGGTTCTAGGGCTCCTTGTCTTTAGGGCATGGGTTTGGGTTTTGAAAACCGTAAGCTCGAGCCAATAAGCTGAAGCTTGTGGGTCTGGGAAAGGGCCATCGGGGTTCACGATTTGGGGCTTTTGTAAGTTAGGGCTCTTGTCGGGCTGGTTTGGGTATGCGCTTGATCATCAAGAGGTTATGCGACAATGTGGTAAGGTCGTTGCACTGTCCAGAAGCCTTAAACCGTAAGCCTGAATTGGCCTTAGCCTGGCAGCTAAATCCTAAACCCCTCAACGCTGCAAACCCCTAGTCGGAGAAAACGACTTACTAATTACTATTGGTAGGGGTACCATGGAGTTACCAACAAATACGAATGAACCTTCATTATACTGCGTAGAATTCGCCGACTTGTAGTGCTACGAGCACTAGCATTCGCGGCTGATACTAGCTCGTGAGACTACCTATACTACTAGTAGTAGTACCCAGGCATGTGCAATCCTAAAAACAACCTATAAACTCAAGATTTTCTATTCCCCAGAAAACGCTGTGTTTAGCACCCTCACAGTCACAACCCCAACCCTCTAAATCTCTAAGCCCGAAACCTCAAAACCCTAAACCCCTAATTGATCCCAAAATCCCCAACCCGAACCCCTCCAAAAAAATCCCTCAAACCCCCCAAACTGCCCCCTAAACCTTAACCCTAAACCCCCTAAATCCCCCCTAAACCCTAAGTCCTAAACCCCTAAACCCACAAAACAAAAACCCCAAGCCCTAAGCCTAGGCCCCCCAAAACCCCCACCCCCCAAAAAAAACCCTAAACTCTCTAAACCCTAAGTCCTAGGCCTAACCCCCCCCTTAAACCTTAAAACAAAAGGGGCCGAGGAGCTCCGCGCCGAACTCGAAAGTGCAGCAGCTCTGGAAGCTGATCCCAGCCTCCTCCTCCCAGCAAAGCGCCTCCTTGGGCTGAGGACTTAAAGGGAACTCCAGAAAGTTGGAATATGGTTTCAGGGTAGGATACCCTATGATTTACCATAGAAGGGTTTAGGATCATCATATTCCAACTTTCTGGCTTTTACCTTAGGGTGTCTTAGGACCCATAAACTCTCAGGGTATGGGGCTTATAGGTGTAGAGTTCAAAAGGCTCCAAAGGTGGGATGAAGGCAGGTGGGATACTCCCAAGTAAGAGTCCGTATATAAGGGATGCTTCATCCTACCCACCTTCATCCCACCTTTTGAGGCCTCCGAAGAGTCTACTGAAAATGGCTTGGGCGTCCTTGGTCTTGATTCGCGAGACACCCACAGGGAAAGCTACTTAGGAGGCTTCAGCATAGGTCCTATTGCTGCCCAAACCACCCCCAAACACAACAACCTTTCCGAGTCGACTCGGTAGGTTTCAACAGCTGACCTTTATGCACACTCTGTCTCCTGTTCGGATCCTGGTTCGTACAAAGGAGGAAGCCATTCGAACAAGGTCGGAAAGGGAACTGCCATGCTGTTTATGACAAACGGTACGGCAACATTTCTCCTTCAATGAGCAAAACCACGGAACAGCAAGTGTGCTCTGCACTTACATGCTTGCAAAAACGCACTCTCCACAGCCTTTGTCTCCCACACACACACACACACACACGCACACGTCTGGACCCCATACTCAGGCTTCCAGAGGGCTTCTGCCAAGAGCAGCCTAGTCTCCATATGGTCTTTATACCATTGGCCGCCGGGATCTCGGCAGCATTTGCTGTAGCCAAAGGGAAAGTTTTCAGGAAAGCAGCGCGCAAACAGCAGCAGCTGCTCTCTAACATGGGCTTTGCTTTCCCTCGCGAGATCGGCGAACAAAGCCGGTATGGCAGGGACATGGCTGAAGAGTAGCGCAGTGCGCACCGCGCGGCTCATGGGACGCAGGAGGACACGCGATAGCTATTGTGTGAGAGCTTTATACTTCAGTGCTGATCGGCCGGCTCTCGGCTGAATTCGTGTACATCCGTCCTCAAGAACTTCACACCAGAAGCATTACAGCCAAAACTGGTATCGTAATTCTGTCTTGGGGATTTCAGCAACCTTCGGGCCGGGTTAGGGAGTTAGGGGCCATATAGGGTGTCTGGTGGGTTCAGTCTTCGGCTTAGGATTTACATGGCTTAGCGCATGCAACATTCCCAGAATCCGCCAAGAAGTCTCACCCTTAAGGACGAAATGAACCCGAAAAGGGTTTAAGGTTCATAGACCATATAGGGATTCATAATACATGGGTGCAGGGCCCCTACTTTTAAGGGTCATTTGGTCCTTCAGGACCTGCCTAGTCTAGACTTGGCGAGCTCGTCCGAGCCCAAGCATCCCGGCAGCAAGTCCTTAGGGTTTAGGGGTTAGGGGTTTAGGGGTTTAGGGGTTTAGGGGTTTAGGGGTTTTAGGGTTTAGGGTTTAGGGGTTTAGGGGTTTAGGGGTTTAGGGTTTAGGGTTTCGGGGTTTAGAGTTTAGGGTTTACACCGGAAACCTCCTAATAGAAGGGGCTTAGACAAGCAGGATAAGGATTCCGGGTCTCTTCGAATACAAGAGTATTTACCAAACCCAACAATAATAATAAGTAGAATAATAAGACTAAGAACAGCGACAATAGGCTTCCGTATTAGACACAGTTAGCGTCAACCCTGACCAGGGGCCTCGCACAGTCTAAAGCTAAGCCTCCACAACTCCTTCGGTCGACGGTTTTGGAATTAGTAACCCTGGGCATCAAAATAGCACAAAAGCCTTATCTAGCATGGTCTTCGGGCCCAGAAGCCTTAAACAATGAGTCCTTAGATGCCCAGGGTAAGGCTTTCGCAAGCGATGAAGCTTTGCTATAGGGGCCCGGGTACTTGAAGCATCGCTGTCCAATACGACCTTCCGTTTTAGGGTCCCCTCGTATGATTTCGATAATCCTTGGATACTGTTGCTTGTTACTTGGACCATACTCTGACATGATAGGGTCTCAGAGTGTCGTGAGCAGGAGCGAACCTTACGATACTCGGCCCTCCCGACTAGCAAAAAACAACACCAACATCAGAAACCGCAACATGGTTTTGGGGACTACTGTAGCAGGGTCAGAACAGGGACTGCAAGGGGAAATTCGTGCTAATGCATGTAAACTGGTCTTTAATCTTCACACTAGTTTCAATGTTAATTCAAATGATAGCAGCAGCAGTAGTAGCATACATGAACAGGTGAGCCAGATAGATGTATGTGTGTACACACATATGTACACAGGTACATGACTGTAAATACATAAGTGCATTGTCTGAACCGCGGGTGCGCCACTGGAAAGGGACCACCGACATGATCCAAAAAGTCGCGAAAACACTACCGTCGGCAGAAAGGTTAACGGGGTTTACAAGGACCTCTCGTGGTATCTGTATTGGAGGGCTTACAGTCTCTGCTGCTTGAAATCGCATGAACTCCAAGACGTCGAACTCCCAATGTGCATTACTAAACCCACAAAGCAGGAACTGCAATGAGGCAAGGTGTAGGGCTTCAGCTGCGAAGTTACTGTAAACTACGGTACTGCCAAAAAGCACCTCATGTGGTGATTCGTGGTCCTACGTTGCACGATGGGGTCAACTTCTGGTGGCAAAACTTTCGCAATTTGCTGACAAGGCCGGAGCTAATAGGGGCCCTCCACTACGTTCGCCCGAGAATAAGATGAAATCTAGTGTAGTCGCCAAACTTTATAATTACAAGATCCCGAGGGCCAAAGAAAGGGAGGGGTAGATCGGTTTTTATAGTGTTCCGAAGGCATTCCAGAAGCATTCCTGAAAAACGTGCGGAAAGCATTCTGATTTTGATGCAGAGCTGAGAAGTATTCCAAAATGCGTTCCACGGGAACCCTCTGACCAAAAAGTGTTCCAAAAAGCATTCCAACGGAGCGCTTTGCAGAACACTTTCCGGAACACTTTTTTGGAACGCTTTTTGGAATGCTTGTGACCTGGATCTGCAGAGGACGGGCCCCCGAAAAGGCATTCCAAAAAGCATTCCAAAAAGTGTTCTCAAAAAAGCGTTCCGCCAATGACCTGCTGCTGAAAAAGTATTCCAAAAAGTGTTCCAAGATGTGTTTCCAGCCGGAAGCTTTCAGATTCAAGGGTGCTCTCTCGGAATGCTTTTCGGAACACTTTCGAATCTGGAACACTATTCCCCACGCTTTTCTGGAACACATTCGGAATGCTTTTTGGAACACTATTAATCAATAATCAGGATTCAGGCCTTTGGCTCCTGGGGGATCTTGTAACTTTATAAGCATTTTATGCAACAGTTTGGATATCCTCACACTGCCGTTCTAGAGCCCATTACCCGAAGCCGCTGTGCTTCTTCTGTCGACAGAAACTGCCCAAGCCCCAAAAGCCCAAGGCCGAAGCACTCCACCAGCTTTCCCCAGAGGACCCAAAGTAGTTCCTTTTGGGGATTACTTTATAGGATTCTATATATGAGCCCTGAAAAGGAACTACTTTGGGGCCTTTGGGTAAACTCTAAACTCGGCCTTCGTCAGAAAGATCCTGGAGCGGGGCTTTGCAGAGTGTTTCGGGGGCCTTCTGAGAATTCGGCTGGCAGATGTTCAGGTCTTGTAGGAGGGGCTACTGTTCAGGTTTTCGGGATCCGGCTTTTCAGTTCCATCTTTTCGACTTTTCAAGCCTTGTCGCTGATACGGTAATGACAAAACGTACGGTAATGACAAAACGTGAGTAGGAGCACAAAGGATCGCCAAAACAACAACTTTCGATTGCAACGTGATGGGCAGCTTCCGGCATGTTGTGTTGACAATCTCTCTGGGTCTCCAGCATTAGCGTTTGTGGCTTAAGTGGGGTTCGGGCTCCATGGTGCGGGCTCTTCGGGCTTAGTTTTTGGGCTTAGGCTTCGGGGTCCGGTGCTGAAGTAGGTTTCTAGGATCTTTTTGCGCAACATCTTACTACCAGTGATACCTCTGACAATCGTAACGAACATATAGCTTAAACCACATTAGCCCGTAAAATCCAGAGTGTATTCCCGGACTAAGGGTTATTTGGCGCTCTGGGTCTGCTGTCCCCTGTCCTGACGAAGACTGTAATCGTGACAATCGGAACACGCATAGTATGCCCTGAAAGCCCCTTAGTTTCTGAGTTCATAAGCCCCCCAAAGTGTAAACTTTCAGTTTTATAATAGTGGGTAAGCTTATCCCAAAAAGTGTAAAGTGTATCCACTCAGCTACTAAGTCAACCAAACCCCCATTCCGCTAAAACCACAGATGTGCAAAAACCCAGCAATGTCCCCTAAACCCGCGCGCGAACCTGGTTACTGCAAACCTCTATGAAGCCCTATACAAGCCCTCCACCAAAATGTGAAAATTATATATATATATATATATATATATATATAAGTTTATATATATATATATATATATATAAGTTTATATAATACATACATACATACATACATACATACATACATACATATATATATATATATGTATATGTATGCCCCTTATAAAAGACAGGCGAAGGGCAACCCTATAAAGCCGTATAAGACCCCAACAGATCCCTAACGTAGAAGCCTCCGTAGCTGCAAATAGTGTTCGTTAGAGCAGCAGGTTTCATACCCCAGAACCCTATTCAAATTCTTAGGTCATCATATCATCAGAGAACCCGTGTTGAGCCCCTTTAAAGGAAGCGGTAGATAACCCGTATTGAGCCCCTTTAAAGGAAACCGTTAGATGAGTCCTATTCCAATAATTACGGCCCAAGCAAATCCCGACTGCTTGGAGGATCATGGGACTTAGTAAGTATGGCTATAAGTACCTTCATTGGGGTTACAAGTAATTATAAGTATAGTTACCTAAATTATAACCCAAGTTACTAAGTCCCATGATCCTCTAATATACCCCAATCCCATATAGAACCCTTAATCGTATCCCTGATACATCCCTTACTAGGAACCCTTTAAAGGAACCCTAGTTACTAAGTCCCATGATCCTTTAAGTGGCCCCGGCCCCGCCTGGAACCTCACGTGCCGGGCGGATCTCCGTCGGATCCAGAGCCAGCCCACTAGGGCGATCAGCAAGCAGGCCGCCTTAAGAATACACTAGTACATCATCTCTCTCTCTCTCTCTCTATGCTTATATATATATATATATATATATATATACATATAAATATACATACAGTATACTAAGATATTGAGAATATGTAGCAAGGGGCCTTAAGAACTCGAACAAGGCTTTGGGGGGTGTGCGGGCCGAAGGCTGGTGCGAAGGAAGCTGGAGATCTTGTGCATCCGTTGCTAGGTTGGCCCTTTAAGGCCTCTGAAAAATGTTCGTAAATAGGGTCCTATCAAGACCAATAAAGGAAAATATATAATGTCCCAGAAGCCTACCTAGGTTGAACTTTCAGCTGAACTTTGAGCTGAATCCAACTAAGTTTACTTACGAGAATAAGGCTTTGGGGTACATGTTTCAGTATTAGCATCAGGAACCGCCTAAATAGTATTGGCAATTGGTAAGTATATTTGCCTCTATATTGGAGGCCTTCAGAGTTAGAATCCTGTTCCTGTAGGTGCTTATAAGGTTTGGCTGAAGGGGTAGTATAGGGGCCTAAACAATTTGTAGTACTCTTAGTACGCGGGTAGTATACTTAGAGGATCATGGGACTTAGTAACAAGGGGTTATAATGAAGGTAACTGTACTTATAATCTCTTATAGCCCCAATTAACGTTCTTGTAACCATACTTACTAAGTCCCCTGATCCTCCAAGTACGGACTGCAGAACTAGAATCGGATTCCTTTACAGGCTTCTATAGGGCTTCGGCAGAGGGGCGGGTAGTCTAGGGGTCGTTGTATGTAACTAGAAAAGGGCTGCGTCAGAGTATTCTATAAGTGATTGTGGTATAGGAGCCTTAACAGCCAGAGCCGGATACTGGGGGAAAATACTTATGCTGCACCTAGAAGAACTGTATATGGTTGATGCCAGTGTGGTCCCTTTGGAGAAAATAGACCAGGCCTCACCGCCTTGGAATACCTAAAAGAAGATACCTTATAAATAACCTGCCTGCCTGTTCTCCATTAGGGACAACCACAAAAGGACAGCCATAAAGCTCAGTGGGTTTGGGTCTTCGATCTTTAGGGTTCTGGATTCAGGATTCAGAGGCCTCAGAGTTTGGGGGACACACTTTAGGCTGTAAAGGATTCGGACTTGAGGTAGCAGGCCACTCGGGGCTTTGCATGAGGGTTCAGGGATAACTTGGAGGCCTGTGCATGGCTACAAATGTAGCGTGGGTGCCGAAACTAGGCCGTAGGTACTTATGACGATAGGTGTAAGACCCACACCCCGAAAACTCTAGATCCCAAGCCCCAAAGCCCTGATCAAAAATCCAAACCACCAAATTATGAAGCCCGAATGCCCATAAGCCCTAAGCCCACACACGCGCGTATCTGGCCATGTGCTTTTCCTCACTTTTCCTCACATTTTGTGCAGTTGTCTCATAATTGCGCCTGTCAGGACACACAGGGGGGAGTGGGGGAGGGGGGTGGGGGGGGGGGGAGGGGGTGGGGGGGGGGGCTGATAGCGTCCGGTTTGATTTCAGTCCCCGCAGCTTCTGCGAGACACCGCAAAAGCTCAGTGGCAATGTGGAGGGTGACGGACATGCTGTTCGAAAGATCTATGTGAGCAATGCCAAGAATGAAGAAAACTGGTTGCCGCAGTTAGATGACGCACGCAAGCGCTGGGCATCGAAGCATGGAGCTGCCAGCATGCCCAAGTACTGGATCGGTCATATCCGTTTGGCCGGATTCAAGCAGCGGGATGGTTGCGGAGTTGCAAAGCTTCTGCCAGTCAAGCTCATGCCACCCGGAAGCGGTCCGCCCCCAGAAAGTGCAGCCGAGGTTGGCCCGACAGGTCTTTTCAAGCACATCGATGTCACGTGTGTTCGTACAGCCGTACACTCAGATGGGGCCCGGTGTTGGCCGAACCTCGTCAAAAGTTTGCAGACGAAGAACGTCCAGAGCTACAATGTCAAGCATAACAAGCACGAGTTCACCAAGAAGATCCATCTCAAGGATGGACGTACAATCTTGGCAGGCACGCAGTGTGTTGACCGTTGGTGGCAGTCTTTGGACAGATATGTACCATGCACTGTCAAGAGTAAGCAAGATGGCACGGTGAGTGTGCGCTTACTGGAGTATGTGTACAGCTTTGTCTGGCGTTGCCAACTAAATAACAAAGCCGACTTCGCCACGCACTTGAGCCGAGTGTGCTGAAAGGCGTGCCCTAACTTTTAGGTACCCGAATGTAGCCTCCAGACATAAACCCCAGTCTTGACTCCAAGCTACAAAAGTCCTGCAAATACCAGTACTTTCGAAAGCAAGTCCAACTAGAGATGCCGCAAAACCACGCGGCCAAATATCAACGTGTGACCCCCTAAGCTAACGAACAAAAGTCTCAGCGGCTGCCAGGAACCCGATGATAAACACCTCAGGGCTGTCGTCGGCGTGCGAAGACGGCAGTGAAAATGCCAGTCGCAGCAGAACCAGCTGCCTCGTGGCTTGGTTTGCTAGGCTTCAGGATTCAGGGATATTCGGGCTTGGGGTTTAGGGTTTGGGGTTTAAGGGCTTTCTGGTGTCATTAGTCTTTGGAGGTCTGGGCTTAGGGCAGAAGGATCCATGTGATGTAGGCCAGGCTGACGACGACCTCCCTGCCTTGCTCCCTCGCTCTCTGTGCGTCTGTCCGTCTGTGTCTCTCTCTACAGAAAAACAAAGCGAACATATCTAACTAAGTAAGCATATGGCAAGCACCTAGCTTCGTCTGCATATATTTGTATTATGTAAATAGACATAGAGATAGACAAGCAGGCGCGAACAAAGATCATGAGGTTACCCGTATCCAACCCGACGAGCGCAACACGTAATGGCTTTTGCAGCTTCGAAACGTGCCGATCTGCCGCGGGTTGTCGTTGTTGTCGTTCACCAAGAGCAAAGCAATGCCTCCTCGGCTGGCAAGGATTAGCCTACATTGGTTGAGGGCACGGATCAATGTGGACGACAAAACCTTCCGCATTGTCTTCCAACATCGGTATAACCCTCCGAAAACGCCGAACACCCCGGAAAAGTCCTAAGCTTTCGACATCCCAAAACTCCAGCCCAAAGCTGCGCTCTCTTCAAGATGGAATCCGATTCTGTTAGGATCAGGGGTTTGGGTTTAGAGAGGTCATGGTTAATCCCACAATCAAGAAAACTGGCACTGCCCAAGACGCTCCAACGGAAACGCTGAACACTGAGCGCTGCAGCCTCTAAACCCACGTCCTCAACCTCCCGCCATATGGGCACCGACGAGTGACCCGAGGTCATGACCACGAGTTCTGCCAATGGTCCATGGGCGCCGCCGCGGAACATTCCCATTCGTGCCAAGGCCCCGAGAATCCGAACGGATTGCACTGCACGCACGTGGGCGCTCGTCAGCGACAGGAAGCACCGCTGCACCCTGGCTGTGCGTTCTTCCGACTGCAAACATGCAAGTCCTCACGCTGGCGGGACCACGCAGAACAGCGGCTTGCTACGTCTCTCTCTCTCTCTCTCTCTTTGTGTTTCTCTCTCTCAGGTCCTGGCCTTGTGCCCACGAATAGCGTCGCTCCAGCGACGACATGTCATGTGCATCCAAAGGTCGCATGATCGACGGCGATGGCGAGCGAAGTGTGCAAACACTTACGCGACGCAGAACGATCGCACGAGCCGGCAAAGCTGCGGCATACTTCGGTCTCGAGCGTTGCGAGGTATCTCGTTTTCGAGAGCGCACATTGCAGGACCTGCTCCAGCCAGGACTGAACTGCTGGTGCCGCGATCATCGTCTTCTTTTCGTGTCCAAGACCCACTGGCGCAAGCTGCTGCAACAGGCTCCGCCATCCGGTCCGTCGAAGCCTGCGGTGCACCCCGTCGCTGCATCCTCTGTGACCTCACGACCAGCTGCCAAGGCGATAGCCTGCGCCAAGTCCGGAAGTAAGTCCAAGCGCTCGGCAGACATCGCTCCTAGCCCGAAGAGCACAGCAACACTCAAAACGTCGCGGGGTGCAAAGCCATGCAAGCCTGTCCTACAGCATCACGCAAACGCATCATTCCTGACAGGAGATCGGGTGCACATTTGCAATCGGGAAAAGGCAGAGCTGGACCTCGTAGTGTTCCATGAACTCATCCCACGTGACGCTCCCCCTGTCCTCTCAAACAGGATCGTTCGAAGTGGCGGCTTCCGCAGCTGTTCGGCGAGGACGGCAACGTCCCTGAAACGGCATCAAAGCGCGCTACGCCTCCCTCCGGAGCGTGCCGAGCCTCATCCTCGCGCGGAAGCAAAGCTTCTCCACGACACCAGTCGACTTGGTTTGCGCCAGCACCTGCACGCAAGCCGCATCTCGGACCGGACCGGCTGGCGTGCCGAAGCTCCGACGAATTTGTGCAAAATGTACGGGGCAGCATTGGGGATGTCGCTCCTAAGCTGACCCTCTCGGTCCATAGCCTGGCGGACACGACAGAGCCGGAGAGTCCGTCAGAATACGGCAGTGCGACCGCTCGGATCGGAACCTCGAACACAACAAAACCTAAGAACTTCGACAGCAAAAACATGCATCAGATGTGTCGGCGCCTTCACCACGCTCTCGTCTGATGCCCAAACAGGGAGCCTGCAGTGTGATATCATATAGATGGAGAAATGGCGCCGCGAGGGCGAGTGCTGCATCCGACCACTCGCTTAAACATGTTCGTGGCCGCACGGTCGGGCGCACTCAAACCAGGGACTTCTCGAGCCGAAGGGTCCGCTCATGCGCGAGATTCCAAACAATGTTGGTTCGTAACGCCGACGCCCACCGCAAAGTTCCCTATATGTCTGGGGTGGACATTGCCGGCTTCGAAGACACGGTAAGTTGGTAAGGTCTGCGTCCGCCCGAAATGCGATATGCTGCACTGCACAGAGTTCTCGGTTTCACCTCTCCAACATGCGTCAACTTACAGCACTGTTTCGGTTTGCACACCTAACCGAAATCAATCCAGCCGGATCCGACAAGTTTTCGGCCAGACCATGTTCCATGCGAGGTCCCGCCGAGAGGTGGTTGTCAAATTAGGGTCCCTATTTGGGTCCTTATTATAATACGGCACCTACTGTTTAGGGTACCCAAAAAGGGACCATAGTTTTGACAACCACCCATATTCTAAAGAAAGTTGCTCACGCCGGGACATCAAGAACCGGCTTCTGCCACTCTGCTGTCCAAGGAAACTGCGACATGTTCTGTAATACAAGTCGTTCAGAAAGACAAAGGGCTCCGGGCTCCCACAGCCAGTAAATGATATCCAGGCTGACTTGCAAAGACATAATGTTGGCAGCATAGTGACATTCGGGACGATACGGGAACAGGATTGACTTAGTCAGACCTCCGTAGTAACCTTCCCAGCAAAGCCCTAGCGAACTCAACCCCAAACCATAAATTCCTCAAACCCTGATAATCATTACACCTTGGGTACGGCCCCCACCAGTAATAGTTGATTCATATTCATACTATAGATATATTAGGACCTTAATCGTAGCCCTATTATAGACTCTTACTGTATGGGGGCAGTACCTAAATTACACCCCTAAATCCTGAAACCCTCGATCTTCCGGTCACTGCCGAGTATCCGAGGTCGTCGTCAGAGGTGTACCTGCGAGGGTTCGAGTTCAGGGTTTGGGCTCCAGGATTGAGGGCTAAGGTTGAGGGTTTAGGGCTTCAGGGTTTAGGGTTTAGGCTTCAGGGTTTAGGGTCTAAGGCCTAGGGCTGAAGTTAGGGTTCATGGTCTCTAGGTTTGCCAACCCAAAGCCCTGCACAGACATTAACCCCAAACACCCCGAGCCTGCAGCCGACAGAACGAGAATGGGCTTCATACTTCCCTAGGGATCAAAACAGCCCAAAAGCCTTATATATAGTATGGTCCTTGGGCCCAAGTGCCTTAATGTATGAGTCCTTAGATCCCTAGGGCTTCATACTTCCCGTCACTTGTAGAGTCACTGTCAAGCATTTCCTGGCTGTAGGTCTCAGGCATAGACTTAGAAGCCGGGACACATGACAAAGCCTGACATCAAGAACTTCCACACCCCTAAGGCTAGTAGCAAACACGAAACGGTTTGCATCAGGAGGCCAAAAACGAACCAAGAAACCATCACACTTACGACAAAACATGACCAGATACAACCCAGAGCAGTACATCAACTCTTCGACAAGGGGACGGTGCGATCAATTCCAAGGTGCCCGAAGGCTTCAGGCGGGATAATGGCCAGCGCCTGCAGAGATTTGGCTCGAAGGGGTTTGTATTACAGGAGCTGTAAAAAAATTGGAGCGATGTATCAGGGTATCTCACGTTGCAAGCCTTATTCCCCAGGGACCAGAGGGGAACTCCCACGAAATATTCAGGCCTTCATACATCGCCGGGAGAAAACGCTGCTGCACAAATTTCCATTACCCTAAACCCGAAAACTCTACGTAAACCCTGCAATCCCTGAAACCCTCTGTTCCGATTCCGGACGGAAGGCTTTTGTGGAGGAGTCTAAAGGTAAATGCTTCCACTTATAGACAGAGATGTATTCAAAGTTAAGGGCCTTAAGGGGATTAGAACCTCAGACCTCGAAGCAGACCCTAAACCCCTACACCTGGAGCTGTTGGCCTCGTAGTTGTCCGGAGCCACATGGCCGTCCAAGGGGGATGAGGGTGTCCAGCGGAAGAGCAACTCCTTTCTTGTCTTTGCGGTTTAGGGTTTATAGGGTACTTCTTGTTGGGCTTATAAGGGTTAGGAGTTAAGGCTTATATGGTAATTCTTGTAGGGCTCAGAAGCTTTGAGGGCTCTTCAAGCTTAAGGTCAAGGTGGGGCCTTCATGTCTTAGGGCGTTAAGGTCTTGTAGCTTTGAAGGCTTATGGCGTTAAGGTCTCTGGTTTAGAGTTTAGAGGCTGAATGAAGGTCTCGAGCTTTGGTTTCTTGAGGGTGGCCTTCCTGCTTAGCACAAGGATATCTTACATCGTCTGAGAAGATAATGTAATATAAGGTAATCTAACATATACAACTAAAAATTTTACATGATCTGTTATAGGGGTAGTTTAGCACCAGCGCAGTGCTGGACCTACGACTGCAGACTTGGTATCCAAGCGTGGGTCCCGGATCCTCCAGGCGCGACCGACCTTACCGAAGCTACCTAGAACCTTACGGTTTAATACCCCTTCTTGGTAAATAGCCATGTCACCTGTGCACCAGGCAAACACTCCAAACTTATAGTAAGCATGAAAGGATTTCTGCCAAGGCATGTTTACGGGAATAGCTCCCGAAGGCAAGAAGCTCTAGCTACCAAATCAAGGCTCCCGGTCTTGAGTAGGAATCCAGTCCTACTGAGGCTTCACACAAAAGGTAAGATAGTTAACGCAGCACGGCCTCAACAGAGGCAACGTACACGATCTGTCAGCTCTTCGTAAGCGTAACTTTGGAAGCGGACCGACTTTTGCGTTATTCCGGCTCTTTTACACCGTCCTTATTCGAGGAAAAGGGGTCATTGTACAAGGGCCTGTAGCATTTCATCTTCGGGCTTTCCGCCTTCAATCCTCCAGGGAGATCAGATGCTTCGGTAGGCTTGGCACCCAGGACTCTAAACTGAAACTAAACCCTATAAGCCCAAACTCTAAAGCTTGTCTACTCTGCACACCCTAGAACCAGATTCCTTCTGCAGAGTCATCCTTGCACCTTGCATGAAATTCATGAACTTTGACCGTTACACTTCTTCTTGAACTCGGCAGTTGTCTAACAACCCGCGAGAACACAAGGGCCTTGATGCTCAGAGTCAGTGTTTCGGAGTATGTTGTAGTGTGGTGAAAGTAAGGAACCTTGAGTACTAACATCCGCAGCTGTTCCGGCCCCGACATCCAGGATCCCGGCTCACCCTATACCTAACCCTAAACCAAATGTTCTCTCCTTCTCCATTCCTTGGAGCTCTTGCAGAAAGCATTGGCGGCTACCTGAAGAGCAAATCTTAGGGGCTGAGTACCCTGGCCCCAAAAGAGCTAACCTTTCCAATTATGGTAGGATTATAGAAACCCCAAAATAGAAAATGTTATCCTGGCAGTCCAGGTAAGCCTTATTTATCGTTCTTGGCACCCGAAAAGCACCCAATTCCTTAAATGATGAGTACTTGGACTTGGGGTTACCTACTCAGCTACAAAAAAATGGGTAGCTTGTGGGCCTGAGTACTTAGACTAGGACTGGGGATGTGATTTTCGATGCTTAGAACAAGGTCTTACGAGGGAATGCTGTTGCAAACTAGTCCGACCTCTAACATGAAACCCCAACCCGCAGTAGTACCCGAACCTCGGGGTTTAGGGTTGAAGCGTTGAAGGTTTGAAGCTTTTAGGCTCTTCGGCTATCGATCTTGGGCTTTATAGGCTTCAGGGTCGGTCATCGACGACCCACAAAAACTTACGCAGTCTGGCATTCAATCACAAAAGGCCCTAATATCCGGACCTCAGGCCGTTAGACTGCCCTTCGTTTTCTGCGGGAGGGAAGTTTAAAGGTCGGTTGACATGAATGATACCGCCTTATTTATGGATTCAGAAGTTCCGGCGCGGCTACGGAATTGCACTGGCCTCATGCACTTTCCAGACAGCGTCCAGCTGAGCAGTCAGCTTGGTAGCAGGTTTCGTCATGCAGAGCTGCAACCAGCAGTCATCCCCTGCCTGCAGTTGTCTGTTCGCGTAGAGGTGCATCTCGTCCAGCGTTCGGAGCTTGTGTGCGAAGACAACCTTGGCAACGTCGCCGGCACGCAGTCGTTTGTCCTGCCAGCGACTCTGTAACAATCGACGTGGGATATCGCGATGCCCAGCTGTCATCAGATGCTCACCGTCCAAGTCCAAGTCAGCCAGCGGCTTCTTAGTACTGGGCTGAAAGGAGGCTTTCAGGGCTTGCGGTTTCAGGTTACGCCTGAGTCTTAAGGCTTCGGGTCGACACACTTGGGCCTAAAATCTCAAAGGACGACCAGAATCGGAACCCCAAGCCCTGAACCCAGACAGCCCTACATCAGGCAGGCGCCAGGGGACCCTGGAAGGCACAAGCATCGTCGCAAATCGCGCTGCAATTGCTCACATCATCCCCTGGCAGTCGGATAGAGGCTTAGATTCGAGCGCCACTTAGTACAGATCTGTATTGCGGGTGTAGGTTGCATGCATGCAGGCAGGTATGCATGTATATATGTACCTGTATATACATATATAAATGTGTATGTACATCTGCATGCATGAATGCATGTATGTAGGTATGTATGTATGTACGCATGCATGCAACCTTACATAGGAACACTGCAAACACAAATACGAATATCTGGGCATATAGCATCACCAGAAATATAGCGAAGGAGATGTATAGATGGATAGATGCACACTATAAATGCGACTAAAAGTTTGCACATGAGGACAAACATGAATGAACTACGCGCAATGACTGGAATTATAATGTGTGCAAAACCAAACATGTGCGAACATAATGATGAATGCATGCAACAGTCGCTTAACTGTTTCGCAGCTATCAACACCGAGTCCTTCTTTGCCCTATTCTGTATGTGCAAAATCTGAGGACAGACTACTCTACACCTCCAAGCCTATATGCCTAAACCCCTAAACCCGAAACCGATAAACCCTAAACCCCTAAACCCTTAACCCCTAAACCCTGAACTATCCCATCCAAAATCCGAAAGCCCTAAGTCAACCCCGGGAGTGAGCCGCTGAAGGCCCTAGACCCTACAGACTGAATCAGGTTATTTAGGAACCTTGGGCCTTTAATAGGGTTCTATAAGTTAAGGGTACTATAAGGGTTTTGGGGGTTTAATGTAGGAACCTGATTCAGAAACCTTAGGCCTTTCTATTAGGGTTCCTTGAACGAATCCTACTATTTTGGGGTTATGGGCCCAGGGTTTCTTAATCAGGTTCCTACATTATGCCCCCCCCCCCCCCCCCCCCCCGATTTTGTCGGCAGAGGGTTGGCGTATAGGGCTTATGTAGCTAGAGGGGTCTGGATGTAGGTTTGGAGAATTCGAGGCTGGGGGCGTAAGGCAACATTGCCTTCAAGTCTTACCGCTGAAGCAAGTTGGTAGCTTTCTATAGCAGCGTAAATACTCCCAAAAAGCAAACACAACGAAACGTAAAGTCAGATATCTACTCGTAAGCCTGGAAAGCTCTGATTCTAGCCTATGGCCTGCATCAGACAGAGCCCAAAGAGCATAAACCCACATCCTGAAATGTGAACCGTATTTCCTTCTTTCACTTGTAGTACCTTTGTCGGATATGCCTAATTCCTAACCCATAAACCTCAAGCCCTCAACCCGAATTCGCACCTCGAGCTTGGAGCAAGTAGAGCCGGATGTCATTGCCGGCCCTCCGACTCCAGCTGCGGGCTAAAGCCAGAAATTGGCCTCGCCGGCGGCTTTGAGATTGGAGTTTTGGGGTTGGCGAGGCCGCCTTTGGCCCGCGTTCTCGCACAACCTTCCGCCCCCCAAAACGCAGACCCTTTAGCACAACCCAAACCCAAGACTTGCTTCTTGTTACGAAGCTCCATTTGACTTAGGTGAGCATGATTTGTAAAGGAGGCAATGTTGCCACAAGAGCAGGTCAAGCACATATGGGCAAGACATCCCTCAGTATGAAACCCTCATAACATCCTCATAAAATACCAGAACTTCTCTGAAACCTTCCTCTCGGGGGGTCAAGCAAACGTAGGTTTCTAGGGTCCAGGCCCTCAGCCTGAACCGTAGACCCTAAACCATACTCTAAACCAAAACTCCCTGAACCCCTGAACCCCAAACCCTAAACCCCAAACTCCAAACCTTAAACCCCTGAACCCCTAAACTCCAATCCCTAAACCCCAAACTCTAAACCCTAAACCCTGAACCCCCAAACCCGAAACCCCTAAACCTTAAACCCTTGAAACACGCAGGCCTCCGGATAGGCCCTTGGCGTCCAAGGCAGCCATCTCACTCAGCAGGAGCTGCTGGACTCCTCCTGACAGCCCCTAAGGGTCGAAGTAATAGTATAGTACAGGGGTGGTTGTCAAAAATAGGGTCCCTTCTTGGGTCCTTGTTATCATACGGCACCTAGTATGTATACCCAAAAAGGAACCCTAATTTTGACAACCACCCATGTATTTTTGAGGCACTAAGTACCTACCAAGTACCTACAAAACTGGTGCTTGGACCCTTTGGGAGGATGCTTTTTTGAATTGGGAAGGATGGTTTAAGGCTCAGGGTTTCAGGTTGAGGATTTGCGGCCTTGTCTGTTGTCGATAAGGGTTTAGGGTTCAGGGCAGGGGTTCTACAGGGATCTTACGAAGGTGTCGTAAGGGCCCATTGTCTCGCTGTAGAAGTACGTGGTTCCATCGGGCTGAGGTAGGCGGCCTGTGGCACTAGGATGGGATTCATGTTGATCAATGTGTAGGTCGTTGGGCTTTCCATGTGGATGCCGCCGTTTAGGACGTAAGGCTGGCACAGCTTGTCTGCGCCGAAGTATTGGTGGATAGTTCTTTTCATTAGGGCCCCGATTAGAGTAGTCCCTTTGGAAGGGGTACTGGCATATGAGTAGTTGTCAAAATCAGGTACCCTAAATATATGGTGCCTTATTATAATAAGGACCCAAAAAGGGACCCAAACTTTGACAACCACCCATATCAGTATAAGGACTGTTAAGCGGGTACTGCTACTTATAGTACAGTACCGGGCCTTCTGCCCCATCGAGCAGAAAGAATTGGGATCGAAGGAGCTTTCCAGAAGCAGCGTCCACCTGATCAGCCATTGGAGTTTAGGCTTAGGATTTAGGATGTAGGGTTTAGGTTTAATTATGGCTGCAAAGCCAGCAACTGCAACCACTATCACTGCTGCTGCCAAGACTTGACGACTCACCAAACTATGCAAGGATCATGACAACAAGCTGTAAAAGTTCTCGCTTTGAAGCTGCCCTTCTAGAAGATCAGTGATTCGGAAGTAGCGCTTAGGGTCGGAAGTATCGGGCTTAAATACTATAAGGTATAGGACACAAAAGCCGGTGTGATCGAGTTGACATATGCTTTCACCATCCCCCCCCCCGGACAGTATTTATGTCCCAAAACGTATCAAACCCTAAACCCCGAACCTACGTCCCAAAACGTCGCTTTTTTTTCAGCCCTTCTCTTGCAGCTCCTCCCATCTCGCGAAGTCTCCGAGCATTAAGCTCTGCTGGAAGTCGCAATGCTCGAACTCCTCCAGGAAGGATGCATGACCTCCCTTGTGCCTCGGTATAAGAAGGGCAGAACATGGCTACATAGGGCTTCTACAGTGTGCATGGTGGTCTGTGGGCTCTATAGGGTTCGGGGTTAAGTCGACCCTATAGTTGTTGGGCGTTTAGGGTGTGGCGGTAACAGCGGGGTCGGTGGTGGCGGTATTGCGACTACCGTTATGAATACCATTAGTATAGTGGTAGAGTCACAAGGAGAAGCAGGAGGAGGACAGGGAGAAAGAGGAGGAGTAGGAGTGACCGGCAAAACTACGTTGCTCGTCCGGGGGGCAATTTGGCCGCCGTCCGACGCAGCAGATGTACATCGGAGGCATTCAGGCCCTTGAGTTGGCAGAACTGAGCTTAGGGTTTAGGGTCGGGCCGCGGCTGTTGAGCTTATCAGCGGCTTCGGCTTAGATACTTGTGGCCTTACAGGCTATAGGTAAAGCCGCTGTAGGTAGAGCCGTCCTATGATGGCCTTTTGGATTAATCCTGGCATCTTGGCCCTCCTGCTTCAGATTCGAGCATTCCCGGTTCGTAGCTATAAAAGAAGCCGTCAGCGCCAACTCCCATGTCCCAGGCGAAACCTGCTAGCGCCCCCAGAGAACCTTCATCAACCCTTGATATGGAAGCTTTCGATAGGTGCTATGTTACGCTATGTATGCTCATATAGCAATATAACGACCACAAGGATATAATATCACTCAAAACTCCAACCCCTTTATTAGAATTATTGAACCTAATGTGAATCATCCTGGTAGAAGCCAGATAGTTGGAACATCATGATCCTCATGACCTTAAAGCAAAACACATGGATCCCAGCACTAGTCATCCTAAATCCATGTTCCAACTTTCCTCAACCCTACACCTTTAGCCCCCCATGGCCTCGGTGATGAGTCGCGAATTCCTGGCATCATTGGGCGCACGAAACTCCGTGACAGTGGGTATTGCGAAGCATCGCCCAGTCGGATAGAGCTCCGCCTCGAAATGAAGACGTGCTAGATTTCGGGGCTACTGTTTAAGGTTTGGGGCATAGGGTTCGGGATTTAGGGCTTGGGGTTTATGGTTGGGGAGTTTGAGGTTTGAGGGTTTGGGGTTTGGGGCTACGTACCATTTTCTGCAACGAAAGGTCTGGGCCTGTAGGCTTCTTGATTGAAGGTCTGGGTGCTTGTCGCGTATGAGATGAATGGCGGGGCGTGTGGGAGTTTCCGAAAATTGGGGGGTACCTTGTTTTGGGGTCCTTATAATAAGGATCCTACTACTCAGAGTATTACATTAGGGTCCCCTATTTTCGGAAACTCCCATGTGGAAGAGGTGGCCGGGTGCTGTTGTTGCACCTGGCAGGTAGGGCACCTACCACCACATCTTGCCTCACAAGCAACATGTTTCAAAACTCAGCCAGGAACCAAATAGGCAGCTGGGCGACGTGGGCATGGTGCGGTCTGCTCGTAGAAACGACAGGACTGCAGCGGCAGCACATTCTCAAGGGTGAATGCTCTTCCCGTGCAGCTGCAACCGTTCTCAGTGAAGAAGCCATCGATGGTCGTAGCAATTAGATGCTCACACTCACAGAAGCCAGTCTGCAAAGCTTCTCCATCGACTGAATATGCTTCAAAATCCGCGACGGCCAAGAATGGCTTCGATCTGATGCATTTCATTCTGGACAGCTGTCCAGCCCACACCATTGCATCAGCCTTGGTCATTAGTCAGCGAACCCTATAGAATCAATTCTCGCCAACCGCAAAGCCTGCACCTGAGCCCCAGAATCCTAAACTAAGGAACCCTAAACCCACCACCCAAGACAGAAAGCTCATTTCTGGAGCCGGGTTTCAGCAGAAGACATCAGCACACAGTAGAACCAGCCACGGGCAAGAAGTTCATCGCTAATCCTCTTCACCACTCCAAACCTCCGAAATTTAGGGTCTGAGCTTGAGGGCTGATGGCTGAGGTCTTTATCTTCGAGGCTTGTGGCTGCAAACGTGATCCCCCATGACAGGTTCTAGAAACAGACTTCCAGGAGCACGACATGAACATCATGGGGGGGGGGGGGGGATTCAGACAAGAAGTTAGGACCCTACACCCCCTAGACTTCACATAGCAGGATCATTCGTGTCCTTATCCCTGAATGCTGTACCCTCCCCTTTCCTGAACCCCCAAGTCGAAGGGGACTCCTTGCAGAGCACGTATAAGGGCTTCGACAGTTCGAATGAGGTTTTTGCGGGTGGGTTACTCTTTAGAAAGGCTGAAGTTGTTAGAGCCATAACTTTACGCACAAATCAGACCCTGTATATCATGACCCTGAACCCGAAGCCCCAAGCCCCCAACCCTAAACCCTAGACCCTAAACCCCTATATCTTGAGTGACCCAGGCACCAGGACGCCAAAGTGTCAGCTCGCACCATCCAGTCCATGTCTCTGTCCACCACGTCTACTTTCCTCAGCTGCCAGGGGTTCAACTTCGAAAGGCGCTTACTAAAGGGGCCTTAATAAATAGAATGGGGTTTTGGGGCACGCTATATCTAAAATATAATAAGGAACCCCCAGAATAGTATATTGGTAACTATTTAGGCCCCTGTAGTAGGGTCGAGGGGTTAAGGGCTCGGGGGGTTCGGGAGATGTTGTATGTCGAGAAAGCAGATCGGGACTGTGCGGACTAGTCTTAGAGTTGTCTGAATGACATCTGAGGGTGATTGTCAAAATTATGGTCCCTTTTTGGGTGCCCTAAATTAAATATTGGGTGCCGTACTATATAATGTCAAACCACCCATCTATAAGCCTAAAAGTCCATCCTCCAATCCCCCGGCCTCTAACTGAGTTGGACGGTAAGCTCTCACGCATGTTCATTTAAGAGAGTGTGCTTGGGAAACAGCTGGGCTTCCCAGCGCTCAAGTTGCCGTGGAGCTCGCCGTAGCGAACTAAACCAATCAGCGTGCCCTGAGTGGGGAAAAACTCAACATCGGCAGTCTTTAGCACAGCGAGGACATCCTCGAGAGCCTTTCAGGGGCTTCCGTCCCCCGACCCGCACGGTCAGGCAAGGGTCCATGTCGACCCCCTGATTCATAATGCCCCCTCCTCTGCAAAGGATCGTAAAATAAGTAGTCTTGCTGTACCAGACAGGGTTTGCAGGAGGCATCGCAACTAGCTGGCATGGGCTCTTAGACACTGAGTAGCCGTGGCATGACAGACACATGGGATATTCTATTGCTCATTATTTTCGACCCTAAACCCCAAACGTGGGCCATGTCATAATATTGCTTCCCCTGGGAAGGCCCGCATGATTCGGCATCGTTGCACACTGTCGGTAGGTTGTCATCTGAGCTCTGGCGTGGAGGTGAAGAGCAGTGTGAGCACCACTACACTGCGACCCTCCCCGAAACCCTAAAACCTAAACTCCTAAACTCCTAAACCCTAAACTCCTAAACCCTAAACTCCCAAACCCTTAACCCTAAACTCCTAAACCCTATATAAACCCCAAACCCGCTATCGCCGCAACACCTCCTGCTGTTCGGACGAACTGAGCACCACTTTGGGTATGTCTCCGACATAGCTGAATGTTACCAGCCTCCAGGGGTTCGTTGAAACAATCTGAGCGTTTCAGAGATGTGGGGTTGAGAGCTTTAAACCCTAACCCTAAACACAAAATCGCGAAAACCCACACCCTACACCATAAACTCCAAAACCCAATCCTAAACCCTAAACCCTTAATCCCCAAGCCCGGAATCCCAAACGACACCCCCGTACCCTTACCTAACCAACCTTACCTTTGGTTAGTAGGGAATGGAAGATGGTAGGAATAGTACTTTTACTTGTACCCGATTCCTCCATTCCCTAGTAACCAAAGGTAAGTTATAGGATTACTAGGGCCCCTATATTATAGTACCCTTATAGATCCCTTATAGTAACCCTTACAGACTCCTTTATAAGGGCCCCTTCCATTCCCAAAGGTAAGTCTATACTGAACTTAGAACCCTAGCAAAAATTGTAATTTTAGCTTTTTCTTAGGGATTATAATAACCAAAAATTAAAGGTTATTTCTAAGTACCCCAAAGGTAAGTACCGGGCCGTTGGGTGGGAGGAACCGGCAAGTTGGGGACTCCACAGCGGCTGGAGAGCCAGCGTTGATCTTTGAGCATGCTCGGAAAACCTTGGTCCGGGGTTCAGGGTTTAAGGGGGAACCTTGGTGGGTTTAGGGTTTAGGATTTAGGGTTTAGGGATTATAGGGTTTAGGGTTTCGGGGTTTAGGGTTTAGGATTTAGGGTTTAGGGATTATAGGGTTTAGGGTTTGGGGGTTTAGGATTTAGGGTTTAGGGTTAGGGGAGTTGAGGGTATGGGATTGAGGGTTTGCGGGCTTAGGATTCCTTGCAGGGTTGTTGCAACAGTTCCGACCATGAAGGTTTAGGGCTTTCCGGCTTCAATTTCGGCGTTTAGTTGGAGGTTCATGGGTCGTGATAACTGGGGTTATAAGTAAGGTAACTATACATGTAACCGTTATTAGGGGACCTATGACCCCACTTATAACTACTCATGAACCTCCAAGTAGGGTTTAGGATGCTAAACGCAAGCCTAGCGAACTCGGGTTCTACGATTTGCTACAAGGACTTATATCCAAGGAATGCGGAAATCTTACAGGTAAGGTCTTTGATGTCCAGGTGGGCTTTCGGGTTTTGGGTTTCAAGGTCCTCGGAACGCTAAACCCTACCTATAGTCCCCATAATAGTTCCTTTTTTGGTTAACCAAAGTCTCGATTATAGGGTCCTAACCATAAAACTGGTTAACCAAACAAAGGAACTACAATGGAGACTATAGGTATAAACCCCTAAACCCGAAGTCACCTTGTGGGTGCTGAGGGTTGTACTTTTGAGGCCCTCAACCGTAAAGACTTTTTACTCTGAGTGCAATACACTAAACCTAAACCCCATACCCCAAACCTCAGACCCTATTAAAGCCTGAGCCGGTGTCGGAGTCCTGAAGTTTGGGGCTAAAGGGCTTAGAGCTTTAGACGATTGGCAACGTGTCGAGGCTGATGCTTGTGCAGGGTTTCATGATGTTATGAATGAGTCTAAGGTCTACCGGCTATCGGGTTTAGGGATTGCGGCATAAGGTTTGGAGATTATGGTATACGTTCATGTGATGGCACAGGCTCAATGTTTCTTGGTGTGTGGGCGTTGCGGAAGGAAGCTTACCAGGCTTTTGACAGAGTCTGGTGCTCGGGCAAATGTACATCGACAGCAGCTGTGTTGTGTGCGAGGGTTCCTTTACAAGAGCTACGGGCTACGCCAAAATACACCAGAACCTTAGTGTAGCCATCACAAGATCGGGATTCTGGAGTCCCCGCCCCCCGCCGCGAGCCATCACTAGAACTCGGATCCTGTCATTCCCCTGAAGCCCAAACCCCACATCTAAACGCTAAACCTGATGTTCAATTTCAGAATCGAGATACTCAACTCGTTCTTCACAGCCAAGATCAGTTGGGCACTCAGCTGAAGAGCAAGGTCGCATGGCCATTCTCGCCGCTCCTTCTCCGAACAGACGCAGGAACTTTACAGGTGTCGTGGCTTTATCCCAGCAGCCACGAATCAGAAGTGATCATGACCACCACTATGAGCAGCGACAACAAGATAAACGAGAGTTTAGTTAGTTAGCTAGCCAGTCAGGTAGCGAGGTAGTTAGGTATTTGGTAGATAGACTACAGCCCCACCACCGAATAAGCAAACATTGAATAAGAAACTCATCCCCCGGATTTGCGCGAACATGTGCTAGCATCTGCCACAACCACGCCAAAAGCAGATAAGAAATTCAGGGTCCCCTGCCCCCGAAACCCAATCTCTTATCGAATTTCTTAAATGCTGCCCCCAAGACCAGAAACGCAGGACCCTAATATGTTGCAGTGCCTTCATATTTGGGCTTAGAGCTTCGGGATTCTCAAGTTTCAAGTTAAAGGGGTCAGGACTGAGTGCAGCGAGAGTTTCGGAGTTGGCCCGAAGGCAACCAGTGGAAGGGTATGGGCAAACCGCCAACACCAAAATGAACAAATCAGGCCCCCGGATCTCATTTCCTGTGTTCTGGTTCGAGCCGACCAAAGAAATGCAGCCCCTGGAGTTCGCGCTTCCTGCATTTTTGGTCGCACCGTCCACAGGGCAAGTGAACAATTCGGCCCCTGAATTTCGTATGTCCTCGGCTTTTGGCCGGAAAAGGAAATAAGAACTTCAGGGGCTGAATTTCTTATTTCCTGTGGTTTAGGTCGGGCCGCCGAGGAGAGGAGGGGCCAAGCCATTAACTACTGATTCTACCACTGCTTTTACAACAACGACGACGACGACGAAAATTCCCAGAAGCCAAGTACGGAAGCCCAACGACGCTCCGGTCTCTGCTCCTCCACAGGCGATTGCATGATTTTGGTCATGATCTCTCCTTGGCTTGTGGCTCAATAAAGGTTTAACTCGGGTCTAATGATAAACAGCAACTCTGGTAAGCAAATAAAGTTCATACGGGTTGCCCCGAAGCCCTAAGATCCCGAGCCCTTTGCCTACAACCTCGAAGCCCTCAACACAAAGACCAGAAATCCATAACCTAAACTGTAAAGTCAGGACCCAAGCGCCCCAAAGGCCAAACCCGAACCCACCTCATTATTTTTTGTACATCTTAAAGCCCCAAAGCAAAGACATAAATCCCCTAATGTGCTTACGGTTGCGTGTGTTTGAGGGAGCGACACCCGACAGTCATGATTCGAACGCATTAGCAACGTTGTTGGGGGAGGGGGAAGTTCTGTAGAGCGCACTGTTGCAGCTGACACCTCTCCCTCATGACATGCCGAGATATACAAATTGCTTTACGCTGTCTTGGACACCTGTAACCTTTAGATTCCAGCTGCCACCATCAACATCCGCTGCCATTTTCCTTAACACGATTGTGGCCTGTAGTATTGAATGTGTGACGTGGGTGTCCGCTCTGTTGCAACATGAACTGAATGCGATTCGCCAGATGATGATGAACATGGCGATGACGGCTGCACGCTAATGTCGTTGTCATTCCCCGTGCCCGTCTACGCCTGTTCTTCAAGGCGCAGGCAAACCTGATATTTAGTCGATGAGTCGATGGCAAAATTTAAAGCGATGATGATCACCGTAGAAAGAGGAGAGCTATGAAGGTGTCAATACAAGCATGACCACGTTGGAAATTCTAGTTACATTTTCTCGCCATGTCATTTTCGAAAACCCATTCATATATGTGTGCGTTGGCAGCCCTGCCTTTGCTGTCTATGACGAGTCAGATGCTTGTGCAGAAATACATGTAGAGCCGAACACACCATCAAGGACTGAGGAACTGTGAATACTGTTTTCCTGTTTGGGCGAAAGATACAATCTTCCGTTCATATTATGGGCTGCGAGAAAAACAACATGAATATTGCCTGTACAAACAAGTGACACTGATCTATAGTAAATAATGCTGACCTGCTAGGTATAGTAGAATGGCCAGCAGTCGGATGAGAGATCGGCATCTCTTAGATTCAGAATGTATACAAGCCACGAGATGCAACCCTTGAACATCACACCCCTGAAGTTTCTAACGAAAATATCTTATGAGCAACATCTTTGCCAACGAGCCATAAGCCAAAGCTCCCTCATGATGAGCACGAAACCGAAACCCTCGTCCAGACGCGCTGCATCGCCAACAGAGCTACGAAGGAAGCGTGCGCAGTCACGGAAAGCAAAACTACGAGGAATCCAAAGAATCAATATTTTCGCAGAGATGCCAAGACCGGCTTGGAGTTTGCTCCTTGTAATATTTAGTAAGATCCATGTGAGCTCAACGGCGGGGTGTCCTGATCAAACCATGGCCCATGGATTTAGCACCCGAACGAAATGTACCCAACTCCGAAGACAGCGTCAGCAGAACCTACAGCCCGCAGCCTGGCTTAAAAGCTTGAAGTGTTTAGGGCCGTAGGGTTCAGGGTTGAGCTCTGAACCGAAGATTGCAAGCTAACAATCCCTACATAATAGGCTCTCCTTGCCTCTATTATTACTATTACGATTACGAGTATTGTTTTTAACATTATGAATAGGCTCTCCCTGCCGAAGCTCGGAGGAAAAGAACATCGAGAGGGGATTCGACCAACTCCGCAGCTTCCTTGCCGATGCCCATCAGAGGCCTCGGGTCGCCACATATAGGGGCCTTTGCAAGCCTTAGAAGAATTAGAATAGGGTTCATTTAAAGGGTTCTTATAATAGGGTTCATTTAAAGGGTTCTGAAAATACAAGGGGCGTATACGGGTTACTACTATGGCTGCAATATCCTGAAGCAAAAGTGGATCTGCTCACGTTCGAGAGGCGTGGCCGTGATTATGATCGAATAAGTCTCCATCAGGTGTACGAAGGAGACCCCCATCGACAGGCATCCTCCCGCCTCTTCACCGGCGCGTCGACTTTAATTGTTGCAGAGTCTCTGGACTATAGGGTCTACGAGTCTTGAGTTTAGTGGAGCTATAAAATAAGCCTCCCTCCTCTCTGAACTTTGCGAGTTGTCGGGTGGAGGGGGGTGAGGGTCTTGTTTTGGGCCTTTTAACGTTAGGGCTGGGGTATCTGGGGATGAAGTTATAGGCCTATAGACATTGAAACTTTCAATCCTTCTAAGTCTCTGCAGTAAGATCCCAGGTTGGCCTGGGTTGGGGAAATTCAGCCAGATATCGTGTACCGAACAATGGAAGCGACATCCCACCAGCAGCACCACACCAGTCTCCTAAGCCTAAACCCTGAACCCAATACTGTGCCTCCTTTAGAACCATAATAAAAAACATGTGTAATACTCTCTTGGGTTTTGTATGAACAAAAAACTAATTCCTAAGGAGACTATACTATAGAATATGTCACTCATGCCGCATGCCCCAACCCGTAACCATGAGACGAATCAAGGCCTCCAGATCCTGCAGCCCACGCTTCAGCAGTGGAATACGGTGCGGGAACTCCATCCAGGGCTTAATCGCCATGCCCCTGAAGAACCTTGTTGCTGATGGCAATCATAAGAAACTGTGCTGTTCCATTTGGGTCCCTGTTTGGGCACCAAGCCAGGAACCCTAGACGGTGTGTGAGTGATGGCATCTCGCTCGTTATGGACGATGTCATAATGCAGAATTCGT